ATAATTTGAACAAGGTGTGAGATGTGTTGTAGGAGAGTTACATAAGGACGAAAAGGGATGCTACTTTTGTATAATTAAAACCTCTATGCCATATAATTAAGGGAAACCCTAAAATCTACACCTTAAAGCACGGAAACAACGAAAAACCCTCCTCTTCAACAACAACGCGCTCTAGGATCCCATAGAGTATGTGGGTAGTTCTCTAAAGTAAGGTCCCAGTTTGGGGCCCGAAATTGTAAAGAGGACCCTGAAACGCTTTGGTGGGTTACGGCTCAATATGACTAAGGATGTTTAGAGTCTTGGGGGTTTGGTGTTTAGGCTTTAGTGCTGGGTGGGTTTAGGGTTGAGCGTTGGGGGCTTGGCGTTCACAGCTTGGGCATGGAGCCAACTTCCTCAAGTTCAATCAGCAGAATCCTGGCCTGCCACCAGCCAGACCACGTCTGGCCGCTTGCTGGTGCTGGCCTCTCAACAGGTTTAGGGTTTAGGGTTCCTAGTTTTGGGGTTTAGGGTTTAGGCCTTGTGTCTACCAACCTATCGCGGTAAGAACCTGAAGACACACCCCAACACTCTGCTAAAGCCTAAAGAGCCCTAAAGCTCGACTCATGACCCTACTTGGAGGGTCGGGGGACTTAGTAAGTAGGTAGTAAGTAGATTTATAAGTACCCTAAAAGGGACCCTAATTGGGGTTATGATACTTATAAGTCCCTAAAATAACCAGTTACTAAGTCCCCCGACCCTCCAAGTACATAAACCCGAAACCATCCAACCGAGGCCCCGAGCTAGGAATTCAAAACATGCTGGTGCGCCCGGTCTGTTCCGAGAATCTGGGGTGTGCGGAGGGTACTTGAAGGCTCATGGGACTTAGTAAGTAAGGTTATAAGTAGGTTATAATTAGGGTAACCCCAGTTAGGGGACTTATAACCCCAATTATAACCTACTTACTAAGTCCCATGATCCTCTAAGTAGAAGCTCTGGAATGCTTGAAGCATGCAGCAAAGCCCAAAACAACACATAAGCAACAACTAAGTTCGTGATATCCCATAGCCCATGTGGTCCCCGAAAAAGGGAGCCCAAGGCTGGGAAGAATACTGATTATGCTCATGTCCTTTTGGGGTCCCAATGTGGGGCTCTCCAGGATCCACGTCATGGGCCTCGCAAGAGGAGGCTCTATCGCCCTCACCCCGAAGCCCTCAAGCAGGGTGCCCTGGACCCTAGAATAATGGCCTTAATAATTAGAGTTTTGGGCATTATACTATACTTATAAGAAGAAACCCCTAAAATAGTATCGGTACTTAAAAAGGACCCTAGAATGCTGTACCTGCAAAGCTCAATCGACAAGCCGAAACCCCCGATGCACTGCAGCGTCAACCCGCTTTGTCACCCTAAAAGCCTGCAGCCCACGGCACCCTAAACCCCAGACCCCAGGACCCTAACCCCATAAAGGGATCTCCAGAAAGTTGGAATATGGATTAATGGTAGGATCCCCTATAATTTAACTTAAAGGGGTTACGATAATGATATTCCAACTTGCTGGCTTCTACTGTAGCCCCAAAGCACAAAAGCCTTTGAAGCCGAAATCTCAAACCCCAAAACATTATAAAATCCGTGTAGAACTCCTGCACCCCGCCCCCATGGAAAACCTCGTGATACCCTTGTTTCAAACCGAATACCACAATAAAAAAAAAAAACTGTAAAGCTTATAAAACCTCATAACGCTCTGTAAACACCTTCAAAACAACCCTCATGAAATCGCATACAAAAATCAAAACCTTCCATAAAGCAACGTGACCCTGATATCACCCCATACCTTAGACCCCACGATCCCCAACCCTACACCCTAAACCCTATAGTAGGGGGCCTTAATAGATAGAATAAAGTAGACACCGCAAAAATGAGAATCGGGCTTCGTGGTATAAAATACCATAAGTTCCATAAGGAACCCCCAAAATACAGCTGGTGTGGGTAATTATTCAGCTTCCTTGCGTTAGACACACAAAGTCCCTCTAAGAAGTTGCCCATGTAACCGAGGTTACATGTAACTACTTAGCAGGTTAAAGTCTCGTTCGTTAACGGAATTAACCAGACAAATCACTCCGCCCCTATATATTAAACACAGCATCCCGGGCCTGCTCAGGGGCTGTGACGCGAGCCTCGGGGCGGCAATCCCCGCCACCTCCATGCATTGCACCGTTTGCTAGGGACTTTTAAGGCCTCCCTTAGCGGTGTAGGGCTTAGGGTTTAGGATTGTTTTAAGGGCTCCTTCAAGTTCTGTCCAGCGTTCTATGAGGGTCTAGGGCTTTAGGGCTTAGGGTTTAGGTTTTTGCGAGGGCTTACTTTGTCAAGCAACAGCTAAGCATCGATCAATTCCAATTTGCTTCCAGTGCTGCGGGCTTCAGGCTTTAAGGTGTTGGGGTTCGGTCTCGTTCTCGCTTTTTTGGGCTTGCGGTGCTTCGTTCTGAGAGCGCTTCGAATGATTGTTCCTGTGGGCTTCGGGTTCTTTTTGTTGTTTGGGGGTGGGATTTCGTTTTCTGTATTGTGCTTCAGAGCTTTAGTGTGTTGGGGTCCAGGATGTAGGGATGCAGGAAATTTGCTGCTGTTTTGGGCGTTTGGAGGCTCACGGTTTACTTGTCTTTAAAGTCTTAGGGGTTAGGGTGCTTTGGGCTTCGAGGCGAATCCTGAGCCCGAAAGGCATGAAATCGAATGACTGCCGTCCAACTGCATAGAGGATCTTCGCAAGCCTTGCTTGCTATAGGCGCCCTAATAATCGGAATAGGGTTCTAGGCTCCTTTATAGTATGACTAGAATAATGAACCCTAAGAATAAGTTTGGTAATTATTTAGGCTTCTATATTACAACTTTAGGGTGAGGGGTGGCGTGTACCGGGCTCCATGTGCTCCAAGGGGCCGATCTTCTCACGGTGCTTCTTGCTCTACTTAAATGTTCATGGGACTTAGTAACTACGGTTATTATTTAGGTAACTATACTTATAACCCGAACTTAGGTGCTTAGAACCATACTTACTAAGTCCCATGATCCTCCAAGTGGCCCTAAACCCTATGATCCCTTTAAGGAACCCTATAGATCCCTTCAAGGAGCCCTTATGAGAACCTAACTAAGTCCCATGATCCTCCGAGTACCCGAAGGCGCCCGCATCACACTTCGTGACAGCATCCCTGGCCTTCTCCAGCTCTGATCAGAGCTTTGTCTCGTATACATTGGGTATACGGCACCCCACTCAGTAATAGTTGAATAATAGTCATAATATAGATATATTCGGACCTTATTAGTAGCCCTTTTGTAGACTCTTACTGTATGGAGGCCCAGGGGGACTTAGTAAGTAGGACCTACTTACAACTTAGTAGGTTATAAGTAGGGCTATAAGTACCTTAAATGGAGTTACCCCAATCATAACCCTACTTACAAGCTACTTACTAAGTCCCCTGGGCCTTTAAGTACATGACATCCTGCAGCCCTTCTCACGGCCAGGATGGCAGAAACTGCTCGCGTCCTGGGCCCCAAACTCTTACTAAGCCCAAGTCCCAAAACCCTCAACCCCAAAAGCCCTCAAAGTCATCAAAACCCTGGGGCCAAAACAAACTTGAGCCCAAAAACCCGCCAAAAAACAACCTGCCTGTGGCCCACAGCTCACAAAAGCCGGCTGCATGGCGTTGATCCCTAAGCTAGCCGGAGGGCCAGCTCAGAGCCAAATCTCACCGAACAGGCTGCAAGGAGTCGCCAAGGACTCCATTCAGGCTCCATAAAGGGAACTCCAGAAAGTTGGAATATGGTTTCATGGTAGGATACCCTACAATTTACCATAGAAGGGTTAGGATAATCATATTCCAACTTTCTGGCTTCTACCATAACAACGTTCGAGCAGGCTACTTTCAGAGCTCTACAAGGGGTTGTATTACGGAGCCTGCTGGGGTTCAACAGGGCTTTACAGTTTGGGCTTCGGCTGGGAGGCTTTAAGACCCATGAACTTGCGATCACTTGAAGGTTCTGCACATCACAATGTAGGGATATGACAGAGGAGCCACCGCGGGCTGGAAGTCTCACTGACGCCTCGGGTGGTTATGAAAAACCCAGCGCATTGAGGAGTCGCAGGGTTGCGCCTTCCGTGTCCAGGGAACCGCGGATGTTGGGGACCGCCGATTTACGCAAACTCCAAAGCCTAAATCCTAAACCCTAAACTCTAAACCCTGGATCCTGAACCCCAAACTCTAAACCCTAAATCCTAAACCCTGAACTCTAAACCCTGGATCCTGAACCCCAAACTCTAAACCCTAAATCCTAAACCCTGAACTCTAAACCCTGGATCCTAAACTCTAAATCCTAAACCCTAAATCCTAAACCCCGAACTCTAAACCCTAAGCCCAACACATCACCGACTGTTGGGCCTGCAAGAACAAACCGGCACATCAAATTACGGAGACCATTCACGGTTTAGGGTTTAGGGTTGAGGGTTTAGGGTTTAGGGAAGAGGATGCTGGTCATTAAAAGTTTCCGACAATGAGGGGTACCTTTTTGGGGGGCCCTTTTAATAAGGATCCTACTATTTTAGGGTACTTTGTGAGGGTCCCCAGGATTCAAGGCTTGCATTCTGTTTCGGGTGTTAGATCTTCAGGGGTTTAGGGTTTAAGGGGTTGAGGGTTTAGGATTTAGGGTGAAGGGTCATAAGGGTTGAGGGTTTAGGACTTAGGGTGAAGGGTTTAGGGGCGAGGGTTTAGGTCCAGTTTAGGGGGTTTTCAGGCTTCAGTCCCCAGATAGCTTAGGGTGTAGGGTTACACGCAGGCCATTTAAAAGTATCAACCCGAAACGACACTTAAAATCCCAGTCAAACGGTACAACTGTAAGAGACAGACCATGAGACTACCAACTGTGTTTTGGCTTCTAACACTGTCCATCGCTGTACACGCTCGACCGATTTACGGTTTCCGCTTTCGCAGCTAAGCTGCGAATCTACGGGAGGAGTCGTCGATTGCAGCAGAAGCCCCTCATTAGCTGGATCCCATCGCCGAGTTGATGCTTTGCCTCAGGTCCGCATCCCTAGACCACAACTCCTAAACCCGAAACCCGAGACCCTAAGAACTTAGGCGGAAGCTTTCGAGTGAAGCTCCGATCCCTGAACCATAACACCTAAACCCGAAACCCGAAACCGAAACCCGAGACCCCTTAAGCCGCGAGGCCCTCAAAGCCCCTGAGCCTGATCCTTCCGCGGATGCTTCCTCTTATGCCGACTTCGGACGGAAGCTAGAGAAGGCTCATGACGAGGGTATGTACCCTTCAAAAAGATCTAGAAGGGGTCCTTTAAAATGGTCTAGAAGGGATCCTTTAGACGGATCTATAGGGTTGAAGGATTTTGGGTTTAGGGTGTCAGGTTTAGGGTTTAGGGTGTTAGAAGTATCCTGCTTCTGCTGGTGGTGCTGCACTGGTTGCTGGAGTTGGTGTTCATGACAGTCGGCCCAATGTTGAGCTGTAAAGGCAGCATGCATGCATGGGCACTTACGCGCGTACACACAAGGCACATATCACTGATTACATCTGCTTCCAAACCAACACATACGAGTACATCTTTGTCTCCAGCAAGCAAGAGGGTATGTTCCTATCTATTCCTAAACCCTAAACCCCCAACCCGGGCATCTCAATCCCCATGGCTCAGTTTCGGGTCTCGGTTTCGGCTTACAGGTCCGAGGTTTAGCGCTTAGAACTGTCACGGCCGACTACCGAACGTCGATAAGCTTAACCCGCCCTCGATCCTGGAATATCCAGACCCCAACATCTTAAGCCCCAATTAGGGCTGAACCCTGAACACCATACCACACCTCCGAACTCCAAGCCCCAAAACCTTGAACCATAGAGACCCCTTAACTCAAGCCTTTAAACTACATAACAAACAAGACCATACCACACAGAATAGGGACCTGCCAACAAATGCAATAAAAAGTTAGTATTTTAAGAAACCCTAAACCCTAAACCCTAAACCGGGCCAGCCAGAGCTGCAAGGCTGTCAGCAGCTCTTGCAGCTCCTTCTCCGCGGCCTGCTGGCAACGAGGCGTCCGGGTTTCCTAGACGGACCCTGATACTTAGAATGGGGTTTCGGTTTTAGGGTTTAGGGCTTAGGGTTTAGGGTTTAGGGTTTAGGGTTTCGGTTTTAGGATTTAGGGGTTTAGGGTTTAGGGTTTAGGGTTTACCCTGATACTTAGAATGGGGTTTCGGTTTTAGGGTACATTGAACTATGAATATGATCAGGAACCCTGCGGAATTTTCTTACATGTCACTGCGAGTTGTTCCGACCCCTGCTAGCAGGCTGCCGAGCTAAGCAAAACACGGGGCCGATTGATTGTCTGAGTCCTACTTAGGGGATCATGGGACTTAGTAAGTAGGTTATAAGCGGGGTTATAAGTCCCCTAAGTGGGGTTATCCTAATTATAACCTACTTACAACCTTACTTACTAAGTCCCAGGATCCTCTAAGTATAAAAACGGTGATTGGTCGATCTGTCTTTCTGTATTGGTGACCTCCAAACAAGACAGGCGTGAAAAGCTGGACATTGAAAACCTTCAAACACCCAAAACCCAGAAACAATAAATCCTAAGCCCCCCCCTGAACCCACTGCCATCAAGCCTACACCCCCCTGAAACCTAAACCCGTACGACCCGAACCCGGAGCCCCAAAAGGAGCCCTGAAAGGATCCGGAAACCTTTCAGGATCCCTTCCCTTCAACGCAGCTTCGCCTGAAGCTTCTGGGTGTTGGTCTCCCTCACCTTCTCGGGCACCTTTTCCTCGTAGCCCGGCACAGCCATCTTCTGCCTGGAAAGCAGCAATGGCTTCCATAAGGGTTCAAGGAGGGGTTTAGGATGGTTTGAGGTTTAGGGTTTAAGGGTTTAGGGATTAGGGTTAGAGGGGCTTATGGTATTAATTTTGGGTCTCTGGGCGTTTAATGTGAGGGCAAGCTAAGCTGGGCATGCCGCCCCCCCAAAACATGTTGGTCTTGGTCATGGTGCTTTTCCTACCGTTAGCTCGTCTCTGAACCTATAAACACCCTAAGCCATGTAGACATGTAGAAACTGTATAGAATATAGAAGCCTTCTTTCCAAAGGGTGCCTCGTTTCTTTGCTCCTGACTTCTTTCCTTCCGTCACGCCTTCCTCGTGGTATCGGCATCTAATGCAAAACAAAACCCGCTGCCGTGCGGTCTTGGGGTGGGTTTAGCATAATCATTTCGGGACTGCAAAGGGACATTGCTGCTAGCCTTAGTTGCTGAGTTCATAAGCCCCAGAAAGTGTACACTTTTAGTTTTATAGAGGGCAAAAAAGTGTAAAGGGCATCCACTCAGCTACTAAGGTGACTTAGTCATTCCAACCCCTGTACTTCACCCATCCTAGCCCTAGGGGTCCGAGCACATATGTACATGTTCTACTTTGACCTACAAGTCCCGCATTGGAACTATGACTACGCGGCTTACCACGCCACTCGTATCTGCACATGAGTGGTCGTCAAAACTAGGGTCCCTTTTTGGGTACCCTAAATATCGGCCGTGCTGCTTGTAGGACTCCACCATCTTCTCAGCGGAGGAGACCTTCTTTTCCAGCTTCGCCTTCTCGCCTGCAGGCCCCCCGCTAAGGTATCATTGGAGGGTTTAAGCTTTAGGGCTTAGGGTTTGGGGTTTAGGGGTTAGGGGTTTAGGGTTTAGGGGGTCAAAGGAGTGTCATTGTGAGCCGAGATTGTAGGGTTTATGGGTCTTGCAAGGGTTGTCGAAGTTAGTGTAGGCTTGAGGTCTTCGGCGTTCAGTCTTCTAGTGATTTGAGTTAAAGACTAGATCAACGATTGGGATTGAGATTTAGAGATTGGGCTTAGGGTAGGACTTCTGAAGACGCGTGCTGCCAAATGACCTTTCAATAAACTTCGGCATGCTGCAATTGCCACGATCACCTCTCTTTCGTCATTTGTGTATGCTTTCCGCCTTTGTGTCGGGACGCCAGGGTCCTTCTTCGATTGCTGCAGGCTTCTCGCCGGCCGGACAAGGCACTCAGCCAGCCAGACAATCTCTTATTGATGAAAGCATGGGCAATCTAGATAGTTGGCTACAACCTTTGCAACGCTAAGCCCTAAACCCTAATGCAGGGCTTGGTGGGTCTTAACGAGTATAGTTAAACAAGGGAACCCCTGGAGAATAACACTGGTACTCACTCAGTATTCCAGCCCCCCAAAAAAATGTGGAGAACCTGGTCCTGCTTCCCAGCAACAACGGGATTCCTCTGAAGAGCCCTATCCTATAAGCCGCAGGGACCACTCGACTCCTTCGTTAAGGCATCCACGTTAGCAAGCCTATGCCCCACCCAGACCCCCGGGAGGATCCAAAAAGTAGATCCCTCCTATAAAGTACCCTTAGTAGTATAGGGTCCCAAATTAGGGGATCTACTTTCTAGATCCTCCAGTGGGTCTGGGTAAACCCCGCAACTCTAAGACCCCATCCTTGAACCCTTGCATGCCCCTTGGCTCGAAGACCTTTCTGAGGGAGTTCTGAGGACCCTGAAGAGTCTATAATGGGTATATGGTAGGTATACAAGGATTCCAGGGTTAAAGGGCCCATACTCGGGGCTCATGGTTTCAACAGTTGAGCGGCCTAAAACCTCAACGTACGTCCCAAACAATCACCACCACTAAGCTCTTAAGATTTCGGGTCCAGGGTTTATGGCCCCAGGATCCTAAAACCCCTCATCGCCAAACTGGCCTTTAAGATCCAGCCCCTCCACCTTGGTGTAGATGAGGCATTTCCTGCGATCTGCTTTGGGTTGTCTTGTGGGCACAGAAATCTACATTCAGGATTCGAGGGACTTGGTTGTTGCTTACGTAGGGCATTTTGGCTGGGTTTAGAGTTCTCTTTGAAGCCCGGAAGGGTCGGGTTCCTTCGCAGTCATCTCTTCAGGGTGACCAACTCTGAAAGGCGACTTATGACAGCAAGGACTCGCGAGGTAACACAGCTTTCGACCCCCAGTCAGCTACCCTAACCGAGACCCCCGGAGGATCCAAAAAGTAGATCCCTTAATGGGAGTTCCTGTAAGGTACCCGAAGTAGTATAGGGCCCCAAATTAGGGGATCTACTGTCTAGATCCTCCTGGAAGTCTGGAAAAAGCTTACTAGTAACCTGCAATCAAGTATCCGCAAACACTACCCAGTGCCTGAAGTCCTGAACTCTAAACCTCCGACCCTCAATCAAGTGCCTCAAACCCTCAATCAAAAAAGCTCAAAAGCTTAAACCCTACACCCTGAAATCTGCAAACGACAAAAATTAATTACATACATACATACATACATACATACATACATACATACATACATACATACATACATACATACATACATATACATATATGTATATTTGTACGAACCAGTAAAACCCGCATAAAACCCTGTCAAGCCTGGTGAGACCCTGTGAAAACAAGACGCTGCAAAACCTTAGAATGTTAAACCCTCAACCCTAAACCCTAAACCCTAAACCCTAAACCCTACACCCTAAACCCTAAACCCTAAACCCTTTTTTTCTATGCTGAAGGCTGTTGGGGCTTCAGCGACACCACTCGGCTTTAGGTTGCTTCGGGGGCCTCCCTTTAAGGGTTCTGAAGTGACGGCTTGAGGGCTTAGTGGCTTCGGGATGCAAGTGTTTAAAGGTTTTGTGGTTAGGGTTCCATTTAGGTCTCAGCATCTAGGACCTAGGATTTCTTGGGCAAGACTCTCATTCACCACATCCCGCATGGTCTGGCTGGGGTCGGCGTCGGCCTCCTTCAGCACCTTGCAGCTTTGTTCCAACCCTGGCAAGTTCGGTCCTACGGCTTGGCAGCCCGAAAATCCACGACCCTAACCCTGAAGCCTATACCCTCAACCGAGACCCCACACCCCCTAACCCTAAAATTCAACACCCAGATACAAAACCTTATAAAAACCTTGGAAAGGACCCTAAACGCATTTGCAATTCCGTCCGATCGTGGATTCCTCCGTACAGCTCTGCCTGATCATGGTTTACAGTAGAAGCCAGAAAGTTGGAATATCATTATCGTAACCCCTTTAAGGTAATTTATAGGGGATCCTACCATTAATCCATATTCCAACTTTCTGGAGTTTACTCAAAACTTAAACCATTACTCCAAGCGTAAAAGCAGGGACCCTTGGTAAGGACCCCTAGGTATATACCCTTAATATAGCCATTATATACCCATTATATGGCCCATTATAGGGTAGGGTTCCCCATTGAGGGTCCTTCTTTTTCCCTTTTGAATTACCTAACCGCCAAACCGTGAACCCTCACAAACTATACCACAAACCCTGCGCCCTAAACCCTAAACCCCTGAACCCAAAGCCTCCTCAAACCCTAAACACGCCCAGGCTCCGTAATGGCACCAACGCCAGCCATGCGTGAAATCTGGCTCTTGAGTTTCTCTACCTGAGGGGTTCAGGATTGAAGAAGTGGCTTTCTAAAAATGCTTAGGGGTTCGGGGTTCGGGGTTCAGGGTTTAGGGTTTAGGGTTTGGGGTTTAGGGTTTAGGAGTTAGCGTTTAGGGCCTGGGGTTTGGGTTTAGGATTCAACATATAGGGTTTTATTACAATTACGGGTAACAGGTTCTCAAAGGTAGGACAGTTGGTTTTCAAGAGATCCTGTTGGAATGGTATGTGGGGTGCCATCGCGGTGGCGTGTCGTGACAACAGCAGGGAGGAAAGAAGCAGGACACAAACCAAGAACGATAAGCCTTCCAACATCCGGCAAGTCTCCGAAAGCAGGCTAACATTGGGGGCCTGAATTAATGATAGAATGGGGCTTTCGGGTCCATAATAGATTTCTCCTCTCGGAATTGTAAGTTGGCGACTTTCTGTTAGTACTATAAACAGCATACTCCTATAGGAACTGTTCAGGGAATACTAGCTCTCATGTACATACCCCTCCAAAAACCTAATCCGGAGCCGAAAGGCCATCTCCCGCAGATCGGGCTCGGAATGTCTGATGTACGCCTGCATGCAGCTCTTGTGGGTTTAGGGCCTAGGGGTGTATAATATGGTATGATATGATATTACACTATGTTACATTATACGGGTTTAGGGTTTAGGGGTTTAAGGCTTAGGGGTTCAGGGTAGCATTGTGCACTCTCGAACTTGGAGGGCACGGGAGCAGAATGGACTGGGAACCTCGAAAAATAATCTCACAAAATATGCCCAAAATAGTACAAGCAGGTAGTGGCCTAAAACCCTAAACCCCAAAATAGTACAATCCATCAGTGGCCAGTTAGTTCTTCCAAACTCCCGAATGGATGGCTGGCCTCTGGACGCGCGCCAGGCGAAAAGCCCAAGGAAGTCTTCCTTGCGCGTTTAGGGACAGGTCGAGATCTTTGGGAGTGATCGGAGATCCGGAGGTCGGCGTCTTAAGGTAAGGGCCTTGGTGAATCGAAACTAGACCCAAGAGTAACCTGGGAATAAAAAGGGGGCCCTTTTTGGTTTAAAGTGGCTTATATGGGAACCTGAACCCTTAAAAAGGGAATAAGGGCCTACTATAGGTCCTAGGAAATATAGTATGACTGTACATAACAGGTTCGGTACGGGTTCTTCAAGACTCTGCTCAATTGGGTTCTTGATGTTTGAGAAGAGGAGGGTGTAGGGGTTGAGGGCTTCAGGGCGTGGGTTTTGTCAAGGCTGTTTGTCAGCGGTTGGGTCTAGGGCAGAGTGAGCAGAAGTAGTCGGTGTGGGATTGGGGTCTAGGCCTCAAACACCTCGAGCCTCAAACGAAGAGTCTTGCGGACGAGGAAGTCTCCGAAATCAACAAGTTACACATGCCACCAAGCTGCTGTGACCGGAACTGCTTTGCGATCTCGCTGGTCACCTGAAGACTGCGTAGGAGAGGACTCTGAGGGCTTCAGGGCTGAGGGTTTGTCGGATTTTGGGTTTGGGGTTGAAGTGCCTCATTGAGGGTCTTCGGCCTCGACTCCTCTGCCATAATATCGGGTCTTACGACTACGGCTTTGGGGAATAACTCAATATATTTATCATGTTTTTACAAGGAAACTCCAGAATATGTCTGCTAGAACCCTCCAGATACATCCTCCACGCTATAAGAACTCTTCTTTCGAGACCGTGTGTGCAAGAGCCTTGACAGGGGCGGGTTCAGTGAGTTGGACACGACGCCCTAAACTCTCGGACTTGAAACTCTAGAGCCACAGCTTAAACCTAAACCGTAGACCCTAAACCCTAAACCCTAAAGCCTAAACCGTAAACTCTTAACCCGAAGCTGTAAACCCTCAGCCTGAGACTGACCCAAAGAGCCCGATGTTCCAAGATCCCTTGACCAAAAAAGAAGCCATATACTGGCCTTTCGCAAGAAGCCCTGAACCCTATACAAACCTAAACCCGAAACCACTAACTTTAGTACTCTAATAAACTGGGTGCTGGGCTTCCCTCTAGAAACCTTGGAAATTATAGAGGGTTCCCGGAAAGAGTGAGAAGGCTACTAGAAGGGAGACAAGAGGTTTTATGCCTATACTGTTTAAGGATATGGGCACACTACACAAGCCGACTAGTCTTACACCTGAGGGTTAGAGTCAAAGGGGGGTTGGGCTTTTGGGGATCACTGGGCTGTAGCTGGTGTCGGTTTAGAGTTTAGGGTTTAGGGTTTAGGGTTTAGGGTTTAGGGTTTAGGGTTTAGGTATCTTGATGTAGAACCTCTCTCCTTCTTACACGCCCGCTTGCAAGCACACCTACTATGTAACCTTCTACTTTGATCGCTTGCTTGCTCACTCTGCCTCCATCTCCTTCTCAAGGGCTTCGTTTTGCCAGGCGATCACGTGCACAGGGTACGGTGCAATCCTCGTGGGCGTCACAGCAACCGGGGTTTCTAGTTTCAGGTATGTCAGGGCTCTTGGTATGTCAAGGAAGCAGCTGTCCATCACACGAGTTCCATCGCGGCAGACCGGAAACAGGAAGAACACAAATCAAGAACCCTGAGAGCCTGCACCCCCACACCATAAACCTAAAAATTTAAACCCTAAAACCCTAAACCCTAAACTTTAAACCCTTAACCCTAAACCCTAAACCCTAAACTTTAAACCCTTAACCCTAAACCCTAAACCCTAAACTTTAAACCCTTAACCCAAAACCCTAAACCCTAAACTTTAAACCCTTAACCCTAAACCCTAAACCCTAAACTTTATAAACCCTTAACCCTAAACCCTAAACCCTAAACTTTATAAACCCTAAACCCAAAACCCTAAACCCTAAACTTTAAACCCTAAACCCAAAACCCAAAACCCTAAACTTTATAAACCCTTAACCCAAAACCCAAAACCCTAAACTTTACAAACCCTAAACTGGTATGCAGGATACCTCATGGCTACACGTCGGCTTTCGGCTCCGAGGATGGTCTCATCACTCCGGGGTCCGGGTTGTAAATCCCCTCACTTCTTAGCTGGGGTCTTGTTGAGGATATAGCTTAAGTGACCAGAATAGGCATCTAGAAGGGCTCCTTTGAGGGTTTAGGGTTTCAGGTTAAGCTACCATGATAGGGACCTGTAGTAAGTAACAGGGTTTCCTTTAGTATGGCAGCTTCAATTAAATCCCTTGACAAGAACCCAGCTTGGACAGGCCCAGCGGCGTCACGCTTTCACACTTTATGGGCGAAGGGGGCAGCCTTTGGTAGAGCTCCTCCGTCAGGTACCTCGTCGTTCGTCCAACCCTACACCCAGAACCTGGAAGCCCAAACCAAAAACGCTCTACTGCAGTGCAGGGTTGAACCCCGAAGAGGTCTGAGAAACTGGGAGTTTCCGAAAATCGGGGTACCTAATTTTGGGGTCCTTATAATAAGGATCCTACTATATAGGGTGCTATATTAGGGTCCCCTATTAGGGCCCTAGCAAGGTTAAGGGCTTCTGAAGCTTTGAGTTTGGGGTCTCGGGTGCAGGGCTTCGGGGGGTGTCAGGCTTGACTGCTGGAAGCTCCTGTGCCCTCTTCCAAGATCAAGAGTGTGTTTGGGGTCCCGGAAACCCAAACCCTACTTTCGACCGTAAAACTGTCTAAAGCCTGAATTTCAACCCAAACAGCCTAGAACCACAAACCTTGAACTTCAATGCTTAGGAATGCCTGCTTCAGCCTCACAAGTTCAAGCCTGTTCCCCGCGTCGTCATGGTAGCGGCAGTCGCAGTATGTAACAATAGTAACGAGAAAATACTAGTGACAGTAAACAGTTTTGGTAGTAGATTTAAAACAAACTGTGACTGTAGGGCTGTGATAAATAGCAGCTCAGCCTACAACACAAGTTTGCCAAGGTGAGCCCGAAACCCTAAACCCTAAACCCTAAACCCTAAACCCGAAACCCGAAACCCTAAACCCGAAACCCCTCAACTTCTACCCCCCTGAAGCCATCCAGGCAGCCGAAGGAAGCCTTGAACCCAAGAAGCCAAACCTCAAGCCCTACCTGTAGCCGCAAAGACCTACCCTTTTAGGGTTCCTCATTATGTTCTCTATCTTTAGTTCCTTAAGAAGGTGTGTGTGTATATATATATATATATAGAGAGAGAGAGAGAGAGAGAGAGAGAGAGAGAGAGAGAGAGAGAGAGAGAGAGAGAGAGCCTCATCTTTGGGAGCCCCAGGTTTCATGCATCCCCGCTTGATGGTTGCAGGGTCGAGGGTTCAGGGCTTTGGGTTCTGTGCACATTTACGGCTCGGGGGCTTGTGGTTCAGGGCTTGGGTTGAGGGTGCGGGTTGGGTATACCAGAATTATGGACCCTAGCGATGGAGGCGCTGAAAATCCCGCAGCCTAAAAGCAGCCGCGGTGCGGAAGCAGAGGGTGCATCAGCCGCATGGACCAATCCAGGCACACGTACAAAACCTCCCTGGCCACCTTTCAGAAGGGACCCATGGGCTTGGGGTTTAGGGTTTAGGGCTTCGGGTTTAGGGTTGCTTGGCTTCTAGAGAGCCTGCTGGGTTCAGGGTCTAAGGTTCAGAACGACTTTTTTGTACGGTTTAGGGCTGTTTGCTTTGGGGCTTTTAGGTCTGCCAGGGTTTTAGGGCTCAGCGCTCAGGCTTTGCGGGAGTTAGGGTTGGGGGTTTCGGTAGTTGCAACCATAGCTACATTACTGCTACGTTACTTCGAAGTTAAATGCGAAGTCCCCCGTCCAAGAAGTGCGGAAGAGAAGGATTGAAAGCGGCAGCCTGCCACCACCTAAACCACAGAACCCTCAACCCCTCAACCCCAAAGACCCTCACGCAAGACCTCACAAAAGAAAAGTTGACTGAATGCCCTGAAGGCAGGCATGCCCACCTGACGGTCCTTCAAAATGCTCTCGTCTTGAGTCTCCCCGTAGAATCGGGGTTTCAGCAGTTCCAGATACACGTCGCCTTGGCACGAACGAGAGTGGTGCTACAAATACAAGTCCGTCTCGCTCGCGGGCGTTCAACCCAAAACACGCCCAAAAGAGGAGGCTTACGGGGCCTCAATGTTCAGAACCAGAGGCTTGGGTGTACACTATCATCAAAAAACAGAAATATACATATATACATATATATATATATATACAAAGGGATACCAAACCGAAGTATTTCAGCCCAAACCCTAAACTGATCACATCCGCCCAGAAGCACAGCTCGTACAGGAAGAAGCTGTATGTCGCGGTGGTCACATTTGCAAACTCATACTTCGTCATGCCGTCGTTTGCCTGGCTTCATACTCGTACAGCAGATTTAGAACCGAGGGGTCTAACGCCATCTTGGTGTTGGGGTTTTGCGTTTGGGTTGCAATGCGCACACTGCGGGACATCACGAGTCAGAGAAGTCTTCTTCCACTATTGGAAGTCTCGTTTGCGACGGCTCACGACGGGCATCCAGGTTCCGAAAAACCACAAGTGGATTTAGGATGTACAGTTTAGGGGCTAGGGTTTAGGGTGGAGGTGGATTTAGCTTGGCGGATTCCTGTCGTGTCGTCGAAACCCTCTATCGGCCCTACCGCCGGCCCGAAAGCCCCACAGCCCTGACTTCAAAATCCCACAGCCTTAAGCCGCATGCTTTGAAGCCCAAATTCAAACAACCCTTTCGGGAACCCTTAACCATAAACCCTTAAAGGATCCCTAAACCTTCAACCCTTAGAGGAATCCCTCAAAACGGATCTGCAGCCGCCTTTTGGGCGCAGAAGGAGAGCCTTGAGAGAATCCATCGATCCTTTTACGGGTTCACGGTTTGGCGTTCAGGGTTTGGGGCTTAGGGTTTAGAGTTTGGGGCTTAGGGTTTGGGGCTCTGGGTTCGGGGTTTAGTGTGTGGGGCTTGGGGTTTAGGGGGTGGGGTTTGTAGAGTTTGGGGGTTTTAGGGCTTAGTGCTTAGGGTTCAGGGGCCATAAAAGGATTAATAAGGGCTGAGGCCTTCGCGCTTATGCTTGCAGGTGAGATAATCTCGAGGCTTCTTACCGTTTTGAATTCGGGCTGACAGAAGGGGCGTCGCCTCGGGGTGTTGTATTCTAAGGCGTTTGGGGCTTTATTAGGGTTCTTAGCCCTTACAGTAACAAGTATAGCATCCCTCATAGACCCTTACAAGGAACCCTTTTCGGGAAACCTTTGAAGGAACCCGTGTCTCAAAAAGACCCGCCGAGTGGTATCCCTCTGGCAGAAACCTTCATAGTATCACTTTGTTAAGGTTTATATACCACTTAACAGGGACCCTTTAAAGGAGCTAAAGAGGATTCCTTGGGTAAGGCCCCCAATCAGTAATAGTTGCATAATATTCAAAATATAGTTGTATTAGGACCGAAAAAAAGTAGCCCTATTATAGACTCTTACTGTATGGGGGCAGTACCTTAAGGATCCCTTTAAAGGATCCCCGGTCCTCCCAGGCCAAGGACTGATCCGGCTTCAGCGAGCCCGGGAAGCTGAAGTCACTGCCGAAGTACATCAAGCCGAACCTTGGGGGCTTCAGGGCTGCCTTTAAAGGCTCCCTTTTAAGATTGCGATACGGGGTCGGTTTAGGATTCGGTTGAGGGTTTAGGGCTTGGGGTTTAGGGCGGTTTAGGATTCAAGGTTGGGGTTTAGCGTTTAGGGTTCGGGGTAGGGGCTTTCGGGTTCCACTGCGGCTCCTATAACTTATAAGGGCTCCTATGAGAGCACTGCTACAGTAGCGGCTTCAAGACAGACGGCACTGGCAACACTAACGGGAAGACCCTGTCAACGACCTTCCACACTTCGGGATTTAAGGCCTACCCATGAACGGCCCTAAACCCTAAACCCTAAACCGGGATGAAGGCCCTAAAGCCTAAAACGAAAACCCCCGAAGCTTGCGACCCGGAGGCCGCGTGGCGTTCCAGACCTTGTTGCAGAAGTGCCTGTAGCCCACCACGCGGTTGATGTCCAAGTTCACATTTCGACCCTGCCTCAAATCATGGCTGCATCATTTGGGAGCTTCCGAAAATAGGGGACCCTAATATGGTACCCTAAATAGTAGGATCCTTATTATAAGGACCCCAAAGTAAGGTACCCCTAATTTTCGGAAACTCCCATTTGTTTAGGACTTCGGGCTTTGAGGTTTAGGGTCTAAGGTTTCGGGTTCAGGGCCTGCTGGCCTTCTGAAAGTGCCTCTGAGTACGATGATGGCTTCCTTTGCCACTGCTGCGATTAGGGTCACAAATATAAGCTGCTAGGATATTGCCCCGATGGGAGCGTACTGACAGCGTCTGTCGTTGTGGCACAGTACCGGTAGTCTTAGTGGCAGATGGCGGCAGGTGGTGTGGTGATATTGAATACGTACGGCCCCCATACAGTAGTAGTAGTCTATAACAGGGCTACAACTAGGTCCTACTATATCTATAATATGAAAATTATTCAACTATTACTGGGTGGGGGCCGTTACCCAAGATATTAACCCTTTGGCTGCCTGTTGCTACAACACCAACGCTAAAATGAACACCTCAAACCTTGATCTCAAAAAACCCAAACAAACTGAACTCCAAACCTAAAGCCCGACAGTTCCCATAACACAATCTTTCCAGAGACAAAAGCTTTTGGAACCAATACTCATCAAACAGAAACTCTATGTCGAAGCTGGCCTGAACATGCGAACCCTAGACCTCAAACCCTCAAGCCGACAAGCAAAGTCGAAGCCCTCATCCTCAACAAACCCAAACCCTGAACCCTCATCCAAAGCTCAAAACCCTAAACCCCCAACCCTCATCCAAAACTCAAAACCCTAAACCCTCAACCCCAATCCAAAACTCAAAACCCTAAACCCTCAACCCTAATCCAAAACTCAAAACCCTAAACCAATCAAAAAGGTGTCACAAGGGAATCAAAGCTGCAGAGTGTAGGCCAACAGGCCGAAACGAAGGGCATCGGCCCCACACTCCTTGGGTCGTCGGTGCTCGGGCTTTCGGCTGACTTTTGGGAATGGAGGAATGGTAGTTCAAAGGGTTCCTTTAAAGGGATCCTTTAAGGGATCTATAGGGTTTAGGGATTAGGGTTTAGGATTACTAGGGAATGGAGGAATGGGGTACAAGTATAACTACTATTACTACCATTCTTCCATTCCCTGCTAACCAAAGGTAAGTCGGGTGCAGAGGGTTTTTAGGCTTGAAGGTTGGGGGTTTAGGGTTTCGGGCTTGCGGGTTGAAGGTTGGGGGTTGAGGGATTAGGGCGTAGGGTTGAGGGTTTAGGGTTCAAGGGTTGATGGGGTTAGGTGTACGGGTTGGGGTATATGTAGGGTTTAGATTTGGGAAAGGCGCTTTAAACGGCTCTTTGAAGGACTCTTTAGAGGAGCGCTAAAAGATTCTTCGACGGGTGCTTTGAAGCGCCATTCAAGGGATCAGTTGAAGGGCTCTGTGCGTATGGGATTTACTAAACGGCTCTTGCACATCCTTTCAACAAGGCCCGCTATGCGGCTATAGGCTCTTTAACCGATTGTTTGTAAGAAGTTTCTAAAGGATATTTAGGAAGCCTTCATGTAAATTGTATACAAGGATTCCACAAATCAGAGAGCTGTTTTTCAAGAGTTAGTCGCATCGAGCTCTGATCAGTAATTTGCACAAGGTTTTCGCACGGCCAAATACAGCTTGCTTCTAGAAGGTGTTACAAAAGGGATGCCAAGGGGTGACGTGGTTAACAACTGGGCTGAGAGGTGGGTGGCCAATGGTCCTATAAGCTGCACTTGGTTAAAATGTTTCCAATGGCTCGACGGGGTCTTGCTAACTCTTATACAACAGGCTTCGTGGGGCTCGGACGGGCTTACTAGCGCTTGTTGTAGCAGAGGCGAACGGCCTGTACAGGCCTGTGCATGGAAGGATACGCCTGCTTCTGTCAAGCATGTTTGGATGTCTACGGTGCTCGGACAGGTTGTACTTCTGGGGCGGTGTAGACTCCATGAATAAACACTTCTTCAGCGACCACAATCAACAGGATCCGGAACCCTAAATCCTAAACCCTGTCTCAGCAAGGCTTAGCTTTAGTACCGTCGGAGTCAGCACTGGTATGGGGCGAAGGGTGCAGACTTTAGGGTCTCCGCGTCTACTTGAAGGATCATGGGACTTAGTAATTACGGTTTTTATGAAGGTAATACCCCAATTAAGGTACTTATAACCATACTTACTAAGTTGCATGATCCTCCAAATAGGGTTCAAAGGTCCAGGGCCCACGGTTTAAGACTCGGGCGCAAAGTTTCCACATGGGAGTTTCCGAAAATCCGGGACCGTAATATAATACCCGAAATAGTAGGATCCTTCTTATAAAGAACCCCAAAAAAGGTACCCCCAATTTTGGGAAACTCTCACATCCCTCAAAGGGATCAGGGGGGCTCAGTTTGGAGATGCGCCCCAATGAAGCCCTGTCAAAAAAAACGGAAAGCCGCTGTTAAGCACCAAGATTCCTCGTAAAGGCCCTACAATATACCAAAAACCCACATTGCACCCTCAAGACACTATAGCCTAACCTTCAACATCAACCCTAACCAGAAAAACGAGGACTGAGAAGTTAAGAACCTTAAACCTCAGAGCCAGTCTCTGGGATGCCATCAGGGTAATCATCCTTCTGGCCTTTCTTCGCCTTCTCGATCTCCTGCTAAACGGCTAAAAGAAGTTGAAGAAATTTAGGTTGAGCATTTAGGGGGGTTTAGGGGTCAGGGTTCAGGGTTTAGGGTTCTTTGGAAAGAGAAGCCAGAGAGTTGGGACGCCGCTATCCTCATGCCCTTAAGATGAAATCGAATCTGAGGAATCCCCGCATTCATCATTGTCGACCTCATGTTCCTACCTTTCCCGGTGCTAGCCATATAGCCCCCTAAACCCGAAACCTTAAACCCTATAGCTGAATACGAAAGGGTTACTATACAGGTTTGGGATCCACTCTGTGGTAGAGTGAAACCTATCGTTCATGTGGGTAGTTGTCAATATCATGGTCCCTTTTTGGGGTCCCTATTATAATACGGCACGTAATATTGAGGGCAACCAAAAAAGGGACCATAATTTTGACAACCACCCATTTAAGAATTATGGCAGCCGGAATCCAGAAAGAAAGGCTCCCCCCTAAACCCTAAACCCTAAACCCCTAAACCCTAAACCCTACAGAAAGAAAGGCGACTAGGGCTCAGAAGCCCTGAGTCCGCTCCCGACGAGAGGTCCATCTGTTCAGCTCTTGAATTATAGTGAACCATAAGGGTTACTATAATAGGGGCTCCCTTTAAAGGGATCCTTTAAGGGTTCCTTTTAAAGGGGGTTTATAGTGAACCCCAGAAAGTTGGAACATGGATTTAGGATGATTGGTGCTAGGATTCCCTCTACTTTACCTTAGGGGCATGAGGATCATAATGTTCCAACTTTCTGGCTTCTACTATACGTCCATGGGTTTCTTCAGGGTTGACGCCAGGCGCGCGAAGCAGTGCCTTCGAGTTTGACCTCTTCTTTCGGCAGCCTTCTCTGCCGCCTTTGATACGTATCGAATTTGGGGAGGCAAAGCCGATGACGTCCTCTGACCGCAGTAACACTGCAGTGGTGTTGGTGTTTCAAGGTGAAGGTGTAATTAGGGTTTAGGGCTTATAGGTACCATACCACGGCTTGGGGAATCGGGCATAACAAAACTTCTCCTCAAAACCACAAGCCATGCACCCCTATGGTGGCGCCTATACATGTCGCTTCGGCTTCACCAGCACTTCAGGTGCTACAAGTAGGGAGCTTTCGTGGAAGTAGACCGGGAACCCGATTGATTCGACGCGAACTCAGCTAGACGTGAAAACATAATCCGAACCCCTAAACGGAACCCTAAACCCCCCCCAATCCCTAAATCTCATTAATCCTTCCACCTAGACCTGTGAAACGGCATTTCGGTGGTGGCACAGCTCCGCCAAGTTCAGAGATCAGCATTTCGGAACCCAGCGTAGCCCTGCCACGGACCCCAGACCCTAAACCCTCAACCGCCAACCCTCAAAACCTTTGCACTACATCCCTAAAGCAGTAAAGCCCTACACCCAAGCCTGAAACGCTGCACGCTGCAGACTTTGAACAAAGCTCGCTCCTCACGCATTTCATGATGCTGTTTGGGGCTCAGGGCCTAGGGCCTGTAGCTCCGCCACAAATGATTCTCTGGAGCGTTGCCCAACCCCAAAATCCAAAGCCCAAACCCCTAAGAAGCACCCAGACCTAAATCTTAACCCAAAACCCCCCCCCAACCCCCGACACCCAAAGCCCGAAACCAGAGGGTTTTGGGGTTCCCCCCAGAGGGGACTTGGTGGCCTTGTCGGGGAGATTCCCTTCGTACAGCTTCTGGTGCAGGTCTTCGAGACTGATGCCATCGATCACCTGCCAAGAAGCTTCAGACACTCCAAAGCTTCGGGCAAAGGGTTTAGGGTATAGGGTTTAGGGTTGAGGGTTGAGGGTTTAGGGTATAGGGTTTAGGCTTTGAAGGCTTTGGGGTACTACAACCCTAAACCTTTAAAGCCCCCTAGCACCCCTAAACTCCAATCTATGGATGGACCTAAGCCTTCGCAGCTCGAAGCCTTTGGTTCAAGACCACTGACGACCGTCAGCAATAAACCATAAGCAACAGACTCTCCTTTTTTCAACGTAGGTAGAAACGGCCAAAGCCTACACACCACCCTAAACCCTACACACCAAAAAATGTAAAGAACCCTGAAACGTCATAGACAAATATAAAAACCTTGTGCCTTAAGCCTTAAACTTAAACCCTAAACCTAAACCATAAACCCTAAACCATAACCCTACACCCTGAACCATAAAGCCCTCAACCCTAAACTTAAAACATCTACTGTAAAGAAGCCTCCAAGGGGTCGATCACATTTCCCAGGCTCTTGGACATCCTCGGGTGGTTCGGGGGTAACAGTGGACAAGGCAATCCTTGAGGGGTTTAAGGTTTAGGGTTTAAGGCTTTAGGGTTTTTGGGTTTTAGGCTTTAGGGTTGAGGGTTTAAGGGTTTTAGGGCTTAGGGGTTTAAGGGTTTTGGGGGTTGGGGTTTGGGGGTTTAGGGTCGTTGAAGGGTTCTCCATGGGCATATGAACGTTCTATGATAAGGACTCAAGGGTTCGGATGTTGGGCCACGTTCAGCCGACGCTTCAGGGCTCCAGGATATCTGGTTAAAGTTTGGATGGGCTACTTGGAGGATCATGGGACTTGTTAAGTATGGTTAGAAGTACCTTAATTGGGGTGATGAGTATAGTTACCTTAATAATCACCGCAATTACTAAGTCCCATGATCCTTTAAGTACTATCAGGAACAAGAGCAACCAATCAGTTCGGATTGTCTTACTTGGCAGAACCTGGATGTCCAAGCTCCTTGCCAAGTCCCCTTGAAACCCCAAAGGCTAAAATGAACCCTAATCTCCTAAACTCTAGGACTCTTGCAGTGCGATCGTGCTGGACTAAGGATTCGGGCGTGGTCAATGGAGGGCTTCGTGCGTTCGGATTTGGCTTCAAGGCTTAAGCCGGAAACGGGAGTCGGCTTTCAGGCGCGAGGCGCCGATCCTTGAAGAAAAACAGCCGAACATGAAGATTAGCAAGGTAGCGACAACAGAGTTCATGACGACAAGAGAAAGGGCACAAAGGGTAATACAATCGGCAATGAGCCGAGGCGAAAACCAAACTAAGCAGCAACGGTGGCAATGGTAGTCGCACCGACAGTAGTGGTCGTAGTAGTCGTCGTCGTAGTAGCACTAGCAACAGTAGTAGTAGCAGTAGTCGTCGTTGTCGCAGTAGTAGTACTAGTAGTACTAGTAGTGGTAACGGTAGTGGTAGTGGTAGTGGTCGTGGTAGTGGTAGCGGCAGTGGCAGTGGGAGTGGGAGCGGGAGTGGGACTGAGAGTGGTCGTGGTAGTAATAGCGGTAGTGGTAGTGGTGCTACTCGTTCGATTACGACGACGACGACTACTACTGCTACACTATTTCTACTGCCACCACAACCACTACTGCTACTTCCTAGTAGCAGCACAAGCAGCCCGGGGAGTAGTAGTAGAAGTAGCAACAGCGGCAGCAGCAGCGGCAGCATCACCAGTAGTCCCTGAACGTTAAACTGTGAACCCAAGCTTCGAACCCTGCACCAGTAAAACCAAACGGAAGACCGAACATCACTGTAATCCCAAAAACTCAGCTAAGCCCAACTTCGTCATGGTTGACTCCAAGCGGCTTCCTGCCGTGCGCATCGCGGACCATGGCATGGAGATACACCTCAGTTTAAATATGTTATTGAATATAATTGAATCGTATACACCCGAACTCCTACACCTCAAACCCTAAGTGGGAAGTACAGTAAGCATTTCACGCCCTTGACGTAGTTGGCCTTCCTTTCACCTTTGCCTCCTTAGGCGTAACACCCCAAACATTCAACGGAATGAACCCCGGAACCTTAATAATAAGACTTGGAGGATCAAGTGACTTCCCAAGTACGGGTAAGGCGGGTAAGGTGCAACTCAGGCTGTAAGTATCACACAGGCCTTTCAGAACCCGTTGGAAACCTGGTAGAACCCGCAGAACCCGCACAAGTAAACAACCACCGGCGGTAGAAAAACTGCACTGCGTAATTGCAAAGGCTATACCCCATGAAGCCGCCTGTCGACCCGCTTGGACATCTCAGCATGTGTAAGGATGCTGGCCACGAGTGGCGGGTTCTCTGATCTCGGAGCAGGCATCCCCTAAGCTTGCAGATTCTGGTTGCTCCATTTTCAGCCCGGCGTGAGGATCTTTCATGAGTCGTCAGAGCACGCATCGTTCTTGTCGGACCCACTGGTTGTCAGGCTGCTGTCCCGGAAAACCATATCTGATCGTCGCCGCTTTGCGGTGCAGCTCTCAAGTGCTGTCAACGTCTTTCGGCTTCGTGTTGTTGAACAAGAACCCTGCCCTTCGCAGCCCTAAACCCCTAGACCCTAAACGCCCAAGTCCTAAGCCCGAAACCGTAAACCCCAAATCCGAAACCTCTACATGAACCCGACACCCCTGAACTACCTCCCTTACACCCCAAGCCCTAAACTCCTAAACCCTGAAACTCTAACTTTTACACCCTAAAACATTAAGTGGCGTGGACCTTTAGGGCCTACTGGTCATCGGACTCTGTAAAGCCTGCGGCCCACATGCCGCTGAGGCGGAAGATCGTCCAGTCCAAGGAAGCCATGCGCAAGTCACACCAGTCTCGCACACCGATGTACACGCCCACCACATTGCAAAGCAGCACAATGTCGAAGACGCAAACCTTCGACAATCTGTCGTGCTGCTCATTCCAGCATAGCACTGTTAGGGGAACCACGGACATGGCAAGCTGACGAATGTTCACCGTGACCAGGTGTGGAAATTAGATAGCTCTTTGTAAATCAAGACAAGCCGTTGGCCTGGAGTCTGGAGTTGCTCATTCGCCGACGGGCACTGCGACTTCGCGGTTTTGAAACTAGCTGTCGACAACAGTGCCCAGCGCTCTTCCGGTTGCTGCTAAGCCTGCGACAAGTTAGACGACATGTGTCTCAACTACATGCACACGCTAAAACCAGCAAGCATTCTCCCTTTCCCCCTGCAAGCAATGTTGTTCCGAAATGATCTTCGGGATCAAGCACGGCAAGCGATTCGTTTGGTTGGCATTACCTGCAGAGGGGAAAGGGGGCTTCGTGATCATGAGCAAAATAGAGTGCAGGGGGAGAGGGAAGGGGCACCGTGAGCAACATAAGAGACGGCAGGGAGAAGCTGGAATCGTGCATCACGAACACTAGTATGCTGCCTAAAGTGGGGCACTCGTACATCCTGAGCAGTTTCCAAATGTGTAAGAGGCGTGATCTACGCACTGTACTTGGAACTTGTGCGTTGCAATGCAAGCGCGCATGTCTTGTGATGCGGCTTCTTCAATTGTGGTTCAGCCTTTTGGGTTCTTTGTCGTCGTTACCATGCCACCGCAGAAGCCCGACACTTTAGTTTTGTATCTTGCTTTCGAGTTGCACGATCGCGTTCAGGATGCGCGAGCAAAGCAAGACCTTGTACTCGACAAGTGCTTTTCACGGATGCAGCCGTCACCACTAGAGTAATAAACAGAGGTCGTGAGACGGTTGTCAGTGCAATCCAGGTGGAGTGCGAGTACGTTCAGCTTCATGCAGAGCACGTCGACAGTCGTTGGGGCAGCCGGAGAAGAGGCGTGAAGAAGCCAAAGAGACTAGCATCACGTGCATTCGGAGAGCTGCGTGACACCGGTTGGCCAATGTGACCTGAAAAATACGTCATGCTCCCAAAGCATTCCTTCCAGGCACTCGTTTCCAGTTTGCTAACGACGTTGCCGCTGACGTGCACAATGGGATCATTGCTGGTCAACACGCAAATGACGTTCTCTTTGCCAGACCAATTCCATTCGTAATCAACTGCTCCATCAGTTTTTGGAACAGCGATTCGAAAGGATTCGTTGTCAAGCGGGTTCAGCAAACCCGCCCAAGCTCATGGGGATGTGGCCAACGAAAATCATTCCAAACCACAGCCTTCTTGCCAATCAAAGACTGCAACGCGAAGGAAGGGTTGACTTGCGGCTTCAACATCGTGTACGGGTCAATCAAGGCCTCACCCATAGCAAGCGAGCTACACATACCGCGAGAAAAAGCAAGTTGCACCTGTGCCACCACCGTGCTGGAAAAGCCGAAGCACTGTGCAAAGCCACATCATGCCACATCAATGCCGTTCAATCGCAGAACAACCTCGAAACCAGGAACAGCGCAACCATCGCAGATGCAGGCATGCTGTGTAGCTGGCTTGACTTTCACGGATACGTTGCGGTGCTGAAGCTACAGGTCAAATGGCATTGATATTGTCCTGTAGCTTCTTACCTGCACTGCGTCTCTGGGGACCGGCGGCCACATGCATGCTAGCATGTTCTTGTTGATGTAGATGTCGAACCAATTGTCGCCATCTGCACGCGGATGTGGTCAGTACGACAACGTTGCCACTCCCGCTCCGAAGGAGATTGACTGTTCTGATGAATCTCACAGAACACAAGCCATATGTTGGATGATGGCCTGATTGGCGTCACACGCAGCATGGATTTTGCGCGCCACTTGCTCTCGAGCGACAGCCGCATCTACCCAGAAATAAACCTATCGTCGGCCATCTGGACCAACAGGTTTGGCATCGTTGTCGGTCCTGTTCGTGAGAGGATTTGAATCAGGTGGACAAGGGGACCTAAATCCTCGTTCCCTTCCGCAGGATCTTTATCATCTTGGCCGCGACAATATCCGCCCTGGTGTGAGTGCTGACCCCGTTGTCTGCCAGGATTGCCACGTCTTTCTTGCTCAGGAACTTGTCGCACTGACTCGAAAGCTAACCAAGCGAAGCTTCAACGAAGCGGCCCTCAAGTCTATTTCTTCTTTTTGTAAGTTAACATATTTTCGGAGGCCCAGCCGGCAACATTTAAATATTCAAATTCATCGAATTCTCGACTTCTATGAAGGTAAAATCCCGGGTCGAGTTGATCTTTTAACGCTGAACAAATATTCCGTACTTTCCGTTTTTGATTTGCTTAAATTCTCCACACTTTTCATTCCGGGCGATTCATTTGTGATACAGCTTTCCGTATCTGAGTTTTGGCAATACTTTAAAATTTGTATTCCGAACGGTTCAAACGGACATTTGTCGCGCCTAATGTTTTTAAAAACACAACAGTTTCTACAGACGTTCCATAAATTTGAACAGGTCATTGGCTTCGGCTGAGTCCCGGCTGAGGGCCCAGCCGGAAATATTCAAATTTTCGAATTTAAACCCTTAAACAGTTTTTATTCGTTAGATTTTACCCAACTGTCCGCACTTCTTGTGGAAACCTGTACACATTTAAATCGTCCGGAACCACCTATTTAAAGATTTGCGAAAAATATGAAATAACTGGCTTCGGCTGACCCGGCCAACCAGAAACATTTAGATTTGTAAGATTCTTTACACTCTTTACACTGTTGCATCCTGCATCACTGTTTTAAAGTTTGAAGAAATTTATGTATTTCATTCTTTGAAGTTCTTCAAACCTTTGATTCGGTGCGATTTCATTGTTTACAGAATTCTCGGTACGTATTTGTTACCTATTCTTGAAATCCTCACTCTGGACGATTCATTTTTCTAAATTTCACTGTTTCTTTTTCAGTTGAGAACTTTGGCATCTCTGAAAAAAGAATTCAAAACTGAGAAACCAGAGTCCATGTGCAGATCTTTAGATACAGATTGCCAACTAGACCCTGAAGGTCCTGCCTACAGACCCCTAAACCCTTGCAAAAACCCTTAACCCCTAAACCCTAAAACCCCCGAACTCTAAACCTGAAACCTTCGAAGGACCCCCAAACCCTAAACCCCTGAAAGCCAATCGTAAATCCCACACCCTAAACCCTAAACCCTAAACCTTAAACCCCTCAACCCGCGAGCCGCAGGCCACAAAAGATCCCCCAGCCGAGCCGCCGTGTGGAAGGGCAGCTTGCCCGTCAGTCCAAGGGACATCATCACCATCCTACTTGAAGGCTCATGGGACTTAGTAAGTAAGGTTATTATTAAGGTAACTATACTTACAACAACAATTAAGGTACTTATCACCATCCTACTTAGAGGATCATGGCTAGTTATAGGGGTTTAGGGTTTCGGATTTAGGGTTTAGGGTTTCGGGTTTAGGGTTTAGGGGTTTAGGATTTCGGGTTTAGGGGTTTAGGGGTTTGGGGCCTTAGGGGTTTAGGGCTTTAGCGCTTTAGGGTTTAGGACATCATCACCATCCTACTTAGAGGATCATGGGACTCAGAGTTCCTTAAAGGGCTCCTTAAAAGGTTTAGGGTTTAGGGATCTTTAATCTACAGGTTCTATAAGGGGTAGCTTAGGCTACTTTGAGGATCATGGGACTTAGTAAGTAGGTTATAATTGGGGTTATAAGTCCCCTAAGTGGTTATCCTAGTTATTGAAAACCTTACTTACTAAGTCCCATGAGCCTTCAAGTACAGGGGTCCGTCCGGGGCTTTCCCAGCGGGTTCACTTGTTTTGACTCGATTTTGCCAGCATTTCTGTTTTTTTGGTTCGTGGAAAGAAAGGTTTCAGACAGGTTGCTTCCGGTGTTTTCTTCAGGGACGAGCATCTCCTAAAACTGAGTGCAATTTCACATAAAGTTTTTTTGGAGAGCCCAAGAAGGCAAGAAGCAAGAAAGAAGCGTCACATGGTGGAATCGTTCGGAGCTCGCGACCCCTCCCGAGAGTCCGCCACAACCCCAACAAGGATGCACAAAAGAAACAAGCACCAAGACCCGCAGCATGCACAAGAATAAGGTTTGTGCAATGATGCGAACCATGCGTGCAGGAGGCATCCCGCCAAAACATCGCTGTGAAATCAAAATTCAGGTGAGTTTTGTCTTGCTGAGCCAAAGAAGAACAGAGACCTCAGCGAAGCGTGTCAGTCTGGAATAATACAAATCCTGCGCCCAGGCCACGTTTTCAGGCATGTAGCAAACGAAGCCGAGGATTCACAAGCTGAAAACGAAGGCCGTACATGGACGTCATTACCACCCCACCCACCCATCCACCCACCGACCCACCCACCGACCCACCCACCGACCCACCCACCCACCCCCCCCTCCCCAGCCTCCAAAAAAAATAAAAATGCAACCGTTAAAAAAACTGAGCCAGGAAACAGCGCATGAGCGCGCTACACGTTCCTGAGCTGAGGGAAGCAAAACAGACACATCGAGCAATCATTTTCAGGCAACTGTGAAACTTCCGAATCCGTCGTGCAGCCAACGTTCTCGTGCAAGCCATACATGCAGCTTCAACGGCGTGGCCACAGACTTCGCCCCGAAGACTATGTAAAATCGTCCCTTTTCCCGAACACGCTTGCAGGGTCTTGGGGTAGGTTATAGTACGTGCAAGTGTCCTCTTTTTCTCAAGGACTACAGGTAACCTCTAGGATCTTAGACCCAAGAGTAACCTAGGAACAAAAAAGGATGCTCTTTTGGGGGTTAAAGGGGGGTTATAGCAGAACCTCAACCCGAAAAAGAGGGAATAAGGGCCTACTTGAAGGCTCATGGGACTTGGTAAGTAAGGTTCTAAGTAGGTTATAATTAGGATAACCCCACTTAGGGGACTTATAACCCCAATTATAACCTACTTTTTAAGTCCTGCTGTGGGTCCAGGTATAGGGATTAAGCTGAGCGGTCGGTCGGGGTCCTGTACCTTTTCACAGCAGTGTCCGAAGCGTGGCGCAGGATTCTGCATTACAGCTTCGCTACAGCTCCTAAGCCCAAACCCAAGGCCCCAAAACCATGCAGGTTAGAGCTTAAGGGTTTCGAGGGTTTTGCCTTCAGGGTTTAGGAATTGAGGGTACCAACCAACAACCTCAAATCCCACACAAAGGTCCGCACCCTCCCCAAGGCCCTTCCGTCCTTGCTACCCAGAAGAAGAGGATGTCGTGGCCAGTCTCCAACAGCGAGGTCGGGAAGAAAGCCTTGAAGTCCTGGAATATAGGGGTCTTCATAATTGGAATAGGGGTTCCTTGAAAGGGTTCCTTAAAGGGGTCTATAAACGGGTTCTATAACATGGAGGCCTAACAATTAGAATAGGGTTTTGCGGCCCACTATACTATAAATATAAGAAGGCTTCTGTAGTTCGGCTCGTAGAGCTGTTCTGGTTTAGGGTTTGTTTAAAGTTTAGGCCTTGGGGTTTAGGGAAAATTTGGGGCTTGTAGGCTCGGGGCGTTTTTGAGGGTTGGGGATAGACACAATGACCGCAGTCATTAGATACACCCCTGATGCTCCTAGATTTTGCTCGACGGACTAGGGCTCTTCACTAAGCTTCCTGCAAGGCGGCTACAACGGCCCAAGTCGGATTCGTAATTCCTGAACCCTCCACCCTAATCCAGAAATCCTAAAGAACTACACCTGAAACTCCTAGACTCTAAACCCCAGAAGCTAGGACTCTTGTTGCTGAGTCAGTGAAAGATGTGTATGAACTAGCCGCAGTCGTAGTAGTAGAAGTAGTAGAAGTAGAAATTGAAACAGAAATAAACATGTCTTAATAAACATAGAAATAGAAGCAGAAATAGAAGTAGAAGAAGAATCAATAGCAGTCGTAGTAGTAGTAGTAGTAGTAGTAGTAGTGATAGTAGTAGTAGTAGTAGTACTAGTAGTGGTAGTGGTAGTGGTAGTGGTAGTGGTAGTGGTAGTAGTGGTAGTAGTAGTGGTGGTAGTAGTAGTAGTAGTGGTAGTAGTAGTAGTAGTAGTAGTAGTAGTAGTACTGGTACTGGTGCTGGTACTGGTACCAGTACCGGTACTGGTACTGGTACCAGTACCAGTACCAGTACCAGTACCAGTACCAGCACCAGTACCAGTACCAGTACCACTACTAGCACTAGCACTAGTACTAGTACTAGTACCAGTACTAGTAGTAGTAGTAGTAGTAGTAGTAGTAGTAGTAGTAGTAGTAGTAGTGGTAGTAGTAGTAGTAGTAGTAGTAGTAGTAGTAGTAGTAGTAGTAGTAGTAGTGGTAATAGTGGTAGTAACGGTAGTAGTGGTAGTAGTGGTAGTAGTGGTAGTAGTGGTACTAGTGTAAGTAGTAGTGGTGGTAGTAGTGGTAGTAGTGGTAGTAGTGGTAGTAGTGGCACTAGTGGTAGTAGTGGTAGTAGTGGTAGTAGTGGTAGTAGTGGTAGTAGTGGTAGTAGTGGTAGTAGTGGTAATAGTGGTCGTAGTGGTCGTAGTGGTAGTGGTAGTAGTCGTCGTCGCAGTGCTAGTGGTAGTGGTCGTTGTTGTTGTCGTCGTCGTAGTTGTAGCAGCTGTAGCAGGAGTAGCAGGAGTAGCACTAGTAGTAGTAGCAGCAGCAGCAGCAGTAGTAGTAGTAGTAGGAGGAGGAGGAGGAGGATGAGTAGGAGGACATGACGTGACAACCTACCGACAAATTCCAAACCCTAAACTTCTAACCCTGGAAGGGGTCACAGAAGCCGTAAGCTGTGGAACCCTAGAAAAAGCGTCTCTGGAATCCTCTTGGGGTTGAGGGTTGGGGGCCGAACTCCAAACCCTAAACCCCAATCCCCCTAGACAAGCACGACACTGTGGGAAGGCATCCTCGTTGTTCTCGGTGTCAGGCCAGCCAAAGACGGAGAAGGGGAAGAGACCTGCCAGGCATTGGGGTTGAGGATCGATGGCTTGACGGCAGACGGTTACAATCCTAAATCCAAAAACCAAACCCCTCAACCCTAAACCATAAACCCTTGACGCTGCCTAATTATGTCGATGTCCAGATGAAGTCTGTGCCTTAGAGGCTTCTTTCAGTTGCCACAAAATGTCGACAATTTCCGTCTACCTAAGCTGAGGGAGAGGACTTACAAGGACTTTGTAAGCAGGGCTTTTTGGCTACTTCGGCAGAAGACACCTCTGGATGGTCATCACTATTTGGGGTTTACTACAGGCTGCAGTAAAGCACATATAACTACATCTACATAACCGTACTTAGACGTGTCGTCTCCAATAAAAACTTGTGACACACCATGTCAGACCCCATATAAGACGCTGCACAACCCTTTTAACCGCCGGATACAACGATTGAAGAACTGACAAGACCTCCTAGAATCCGACGATGTCTGAACAAGATTTCCAAGATCCAGGTTTTAGGCCTTCCTTACTGTTAACGGAAACCCCGCTTTCCGTGCTTCTTTGTGGCTTCTTCCTTTCACGGCGAAAGTGCTTAACAAGACATGGGGGTCTTTATAAGTAGAATAGGGTCTTGGGGTATGTTGTATTACATATTGTTATAATGCAAGAACTATGCGGAAATACTACTAGTACTTACTCCGACCCAGGGCCCTTAAGGCGTAGGGTTGAGCCTTGTAAATGGGCTTGCACAAGCATCTGGAAACCAGAACGTCCCTGCGCACCTGAAGAAAACCAAGTGTCCAACACATCCTCGTCCTGCTCCACTTCCACCTGGGGATTCAGAGCCCTAACGAACACTGCTTGCACAAGAAAGTATTCCGGCTCCTCATCTCCTTTATTAGGCCTCTACCCTGCTTAACGCTCCGGTCTGTAACCTGAAAGCAAGCCGTCAACATGCGCCAAGAGCCCTTGATGCTCCTCCCATCTGGGTTGCAAATGAGATAACCAACATACCTTCTGGTATCGACACCCCGTACAGGACTAAAGTATGCAGCCATCCAGCCGCCTAAACCCTAAACCCTAAACCCCTAAACCCTAAACCCTAAACCCTTCAACCCGACGATGCCAGAAAAGAGATCCTCGTGAAAGTTTCCTCAGCCTAAACCCGATCCTATGGAGCCCAAAATCCCAAAAGTGAAAAGTCCTCGACAGTAAATCCCAAAACGTCCAATTGGTAAGCCAAACTCCCTAAAACCCAAAACAACGCCCTCAACAGTCGTCTACAGCCATTATTTGCCATCCGAAACATTTTGCGTACAGCTCTAAACCCCCATAAGCTTCCGAGTAACACCGCGCGAAGCCCTACACTGTAAAACTAATCTACTCTCCAAAAGTAGAACGAAACAGCAACATAAAGAAAAACTATTCAAAACAGTTCAAAAGGTGTGTAGATAAATAAAGAGAGATATGTGTATGCGTATACAAATATACATATGAAGGAGAGGAGTCTTTTGTATTAGAAGCTACGGTCCCGCCTTGGTGCCAAGAGCCTTCTCGGCCTTGGCTGCAGCTTCTTGGGCGCTGCGGCCCGTGAACCATTTCTCCTCCGCCTCTCAGGGTGGCGTGGAGTTGGTTCGTTTAAGGGGTTCCTGACGGGGCTCGCTTACGGGCACGTTTAGTTTAAAAGAACTCTGTAAGACCTGTTGCTGACAAGGATGACCCTGAAATAGGGGCCGCACTGGCCCAGAGTAAAGTTCCCTTAACAGGTTCGTCTCAAAGGAACCGCTTAAAGGGTTTACGAGGGCTTCAAACTACCGCTTACCATGACGGTTCTGTTGCCGAGGCCTTTAGTTTCAAGCGGATGTTAGGGAACTTTGCTAGGTTGCTGGACTTGGAGGCCGAGGTTTCATGCAACATAATATCAAGAAGACGATAAGGGAATAATGTCGGGAACTTCACACCCCTGAACCCTAAACCCCTAAACCCTGACATACCCTGACCCACCCTTGCAAGACCCTCTTTCTTGGCTTCGAACTGCGCCTGCCGCATGCTGAGACCCATCTGATACACACCCCATCAAACAAAGACCATGTTTCGATTCCTTAGAGAACCCAGCGCAGCATCCTTTTTCGATTTCTTAGAGAACCCAGCGCAGCATTCTGGAACAGCCCGTATAGAAATCCTTACTATAGGGGCCTTAATAATTAGAATAGGGTTTGGGGGGCCCAGAATACTATAATCATAATAAGGAGCCCCAAAATAGTATAGGAAATCTTTACGGCCCCTATACTATAGACCCCTGTTACAGATCCCTTATAGATGCCTTTAAAGAACCCCTTTAAAGGAGCCCCTATAAGGAATAGTATTGGCAATCATTATTAGGCACCTCTATTACAGAGCCCGGAAAGCTCCAAAATAAGTTGCGCCTGCGGTGGCTTCAAGAGATCCCTTTAAAGAACCCCTTACTTAGAGGATCATGGGACTTAGTAGGTAGGTTATAATTAGGGTTATAAGTCCCCTAACTGGGGTTACCCTAACTATAACCTACTTATAACCTTACTTACTAAGTCCCATGAGCCTTCAAGTAAAGGAGCCCCTAGCCCGGGAAGCTCCCAAAAGTGTGCCTGCGCTGGCTTCACCACCTCAGTTCATTGTTGGGATAGGATTTAAACATGTACATCTTTATTCCTTATTGGGTTTTAAGCTTAAGTATCCTAAACCCTAAACCCTAAACGCTAAAAAGGTAAAACTGTTACCCAACTATGCCAAAAACCTTGTAGGCGGGGATGCGGTGGCCCCACCAGAGCTGCCTTGAAATGCACCACTCCTCCGCCGGTTGAGGTGGTTAGGGTTTAAGGGGTTTAGGGTTTAAGGTTTAGGGTTTAGGGTTTAAGGTTCGGGGTTTCGGGCGTTAGGGTTTAGGGTTTCATGTTGAGAGTTTAGGGTTAAGGGTTCGAGTTAGAGCCCAGAAAGCCCAACTTACTCCTGAGAAAGGAGCTCCCTGAACAGAGTCGAGGACAGCGGAGCTTGCTGCTTAAGGAAGCTATCAGGGTACCGTTTTGTGTTCAGGGCTCAGAAACCCTATCTCGAAGCACTGGTGTCGATGATCATCGCACCCATCGCCCTGATCTTCCGCGACAGTATCTGGATCAGGTTCAAGTTGCCCTTTCTGGACTTGGACGGGTGCAGGAAAGCTCGTGCGCAGAAGTCTAGGGTTCAGGTCTTGCAGGTGCGGTTGTGAGTTTAGGGTTTAGGCAGCACCGGTCAGAAATGCCGTGGCATCAACCCCAGTCGATTGAAGGATTGAGGGGTCTTTGCTCGGGATACTTACGGTGTCCTGGATGTTCTCCAGCCAGTGATACCACGTCTGGTGGTGGAATTCCGGCAGAATCTTGAGTTCACCTGGAAATCCACTGGTTTGCTTGAGAATGGCAGGTTTAAGGAATGGGGCTTCAGGCTTTATGGCCTAGAGCTTAGGGATGCTGAGAACTGTCGCGAGGACAGCACCGAGGAAGTATACGCCTAAGAAAGTCAGAAAAACGCTGCATTAGCCACTCCCTAAACCCTACACCGCCAAAAGACCCTAATTGCAGCATCTCTTCATCAAACCCTCGTATCGCGGATAGCATATAGTGTATAATGCAGGAACCTGATTAAGAAACTTTGGGCCTTTATTCAGGTTCCTTAAATGAATCCTACTATTTTGAGATTGTAAGCCCAGGGCTTCTTAATCAAGTTCCTACATTATTATAGTACCCTTATAGATCCCTTATAGTATAGACCCCTTTAAAGGCACCCCAATAAAGGCCCAGGGTTTCTTAATCAGGCAAACCCTAAACCCTAAACCCTTTAAAGGAACCCTTATATATATAGATAGATCCCTTTAAAGGAACCCTTACATATATATATATATATATATATATATAGATCCCTTTAAAGGAACCCTTATAGATAGATCCCTCTAAAGGAACCCTTATATATAGATCCCTTTGAAGGAACCCTTATATATATATATATATATATATATAGATAGATCCCTTTAAAGGAACATATATATATATATATATATATATAGATCCCTTTAAGGGAACCCTTATAGGACCCCTCCTCGGACCCGGCTCCCACAGCTTGGCGCGCCTTCTCTCAAGGCCTTCACACTCCGATCTGCGAGATCCTGGCAGTTCATCCACCACTGCCTTAACCAGCACTGGGCGTTTAGGGTTGAGGATTTATGGTTTAGCATTTAGGGTTTTAGGGTTGAGGATTTAGGGTTTATGATTTAGGGTTCTAGGGTTGAGGATGTAGGGTTTATGATTTGGGGTTTAGGGCTCAGGATTTAGGGTTTACGGTTTAGGGCTGAGGATTTAGGGCTTAGGGTTTAGGGCTTAAGTAAGGTGTGGGGGTTAGGTTCACTTTTGGCCTTCAAAGTGGACTCTGCTGTGACATATATGTCAAGACGCGCGCGCGCGCGCGGCGCGTGCAGCTTTGTATTGTGTTTTCATTAAATGGTATAGATCCGATTCAATCCTTGCAACCCGTCTGAAACCCTTAAGGGCTCCGAAAAGGTTTGATTTCGTAGCAGGAGTTGAACGGTGCTAGTAGTGTCTAAATTGAAACTTGAAGGCAGTCGTGGCTGTATGGCCGGTTCCACAAGCCTTCTCATTTGCTTGATTTGTAAGCAAAAGACAATACAAAGCTGCGCGCGCCGGGTGCGCGCAGCTTTGTACTGTCTTTTAATCGAATGGTAATCTACCCCTGCAACCTGTCTAGAACCTTTAAGGGTTACCATAAGGTTTGAGGGAGGTGCATTGGGTCTATGCAACACCACGAGAAATGCTTCGCGGGACTCAAATGCTTCTGCTTTCTAGGAATGCTTCGCGAGCCGATCATTCCTCACGTGTCGTGGCGTCTCCTTACCCTTCCATCATTTGTGCTCTCTAGGTAAGGTAGTGCGATGAGTTGGGGCTGTCTTTGCTGCATGATCATGCAAATCTTTGCTCGCGTTTCCTTTCGAAGAGAATCACTGTGGATGCTGTTTTGCCACAGTTTGGAACCGATTCTTAAACCCTTCCTTTAAACCCTATATACATAAAATCCTTACGAAGATGTTGCCTGCCGCGGCTGGCCTTGTGGTAATACGAGACGTACGGTGTCATGCACGGTCTGCACTGGCGACACACGCAATCAGCAAGAAAAATGCAAAAATCGCAATAGTGGCATGACAAGTGCTACTGAGAGTTTCTATTTTCCTCGAATTGCTACGAGTAGCACCACATCTGTTATCATCGTTCTCCGTCGCCGTCGCAGTGATAGCGCACCACTACTCGCTTGCTGAGAAAATCCACTGTACTCATAGTAGAAGTTTCGATGGGTAAGATGCACTTGGCATTAAGACAAAGCAGCAAAGCAGATGCCCATGGCGGGAATGAAAAGAAACGGCAGACAACAGCAACACATAATCAAACAAGTATTACGAATCACAACAGCAAACAACAAACAGGGTGATACACTCGCAACAACCCTGAGGAACGGAGGATAAGAACAAAAACCAACATCAAGTCTGACACCCTAAAGACTTTAAGGTTTTTTGTGCGCTAGGCTGAGTATTGCTCTTGCTCTTGTCCTCCGCTACTACTGTCGTTTTCAACCCGTCTTCAAGAGCCCATGTAGCGACCCTCATGACCACCCCTATGCTAACGCTGGCAGTAGCCCTTGCAGGAATCCTCATAGAACCCTGCGCCGAACCGGATCCCAGCGGCGGCTTCAAGTACGGCTCGATGATGTCTTTCGATCGGGAGCAGAAGCCCAAACGCATGGAGTGGCCCTTCTTCCCCACCTGAGTCACCCGGGTTCGTGTCAGGTTCCTTTAAAAGGAACCCTTATAGATCCCTCGTAGTCATAGGATCCCTTAATGGAGCCCTTATAGATCCCTTAAAGGATCCCTTAAGGGCTTCCTTTCAGGGTTCGATGTGGGTCTTAAAGCTTCGAAGGCTTGGGGCTAAATGGTCTTATACAATTATGGTTTCTGTCGGTTTCTGCGGGGTTGTACAGGGTTGAGCTAAACCCGACGTCCTAAACCCGAAACCCTAAACCCTATACCATAAACCCTAAACCCCACAATGCGGGGCTTTGAAGCTTCGAAGGTCTAGAGCCGAGATTGCTCAAAGGAGCTTCCAAGATTCCTAGAGCCATCTCACATACAGGCCTAGGGTTTAGGGTTTAGGGCCAGATCCAGTCCCTTGAGCCTGTTGGCAACCGGCTAACTTTGGTTACCCCTTTTGCTTCCACCGCCCCAAACCTTACATGCCCGAGACCCTACATGCGAGACGGCAGTTCAAAGGGAGGTACCCCAATGAATGAAGAGGTACTGATTCTTTGCCATGCTTGCCCTTTGCGCCCTAAACCCTGAACCTACAGCCCTAGAACCCGTGCTGTTGTACAAACCCCTTCCATACACCAAGACTCAACCCCATGTTTCTGCAAACAACCTTACATCAAAAAACAAGGTTCAGCACCAAATCGCAGGCAACTTCTAGCTTGAGACCAATGAACTTACTTGAAGGCTCATGGGACTTAGTAAGTAAGGCTATAAGTAAGATATAATTAGGATAACCCCACTTAGGGGACTTATAACCCCCAATTATAACCTACTTGCTAAGTCCCATGATCCTCTAAGCAATGAATTCAACCAGGTGGCCCACAGGTCCTTCTTCTTCAGAGCCTCCTCCACAGTGCGTCGAGCCTCGAAGCGGTGTTGGCCCTTGAACTCGCCGCCGTTCCTCGGAAGCTATTGGAAAAATGTGGCTCAGGGTTTAGGCTTTAGGGAGCTTAGGGCTTAGATCTTACGGGGTTCAGGGGTGGGGGGTGTTGGGGTTTGGGCGTTTAGGGCTTGACCGCAAGGCTGTCGCGTGGCTCGTTGATCCTTCCGTCCTCTGTGAACACATTGATCTGTTGCAGCTTGTGTCGCACGCCCGCCTCAAAGCCAGGACAGGGTCGTAATTAAAGGCTTTTCACAGGTAGCTAGAAGGGGTTTGTTGTCATTCAAGGAATATTGCTGCGTACAAGAAGAGATCCTGAACTCCCAAGCGCAGGGGACCCCCAAAGCTTAACCCGAAAGCCCTCAGCCTTAAGTCCTCGACGTTGGGAGAATGTAAAAGTTCAGGGTTTCGGGTCTTCTCGACCGTTCAGAACTCCTTGTGAAACCCTTGTGGGTTAGGAACATAGGTCGTTGGGTTCGGAGATTCCATGGCGAAGGCAGGCATAGGGGGCCCAAGGGTCCCATCCGCGTCATAAGCCCCCTGGGTTTAGGGTTTAGGGTTTAGGGTTTAGGGTTTAGGGTTTAGGGTTTAGGGTTGAGGACGCAGAATTTGGTCAACCCTACATAGCGATGTCCACGCCAGTCTTTTCGGGCCTCAGTGTTGTACGAGTGTGATGGCCTCCACAACAGGCCAGAGAAGGTCCAGGCCGACAGCCCCGACACAATGAATCCTTTGGAAGCTGCCCCCACCCTGTAATAGTGACTATAAGGATTATATAGGATTATATTAGGGCCTTATTATACCCTATTATACCACTACTAGGATACCCAGTAACCTAAGAATAAAAAGGCCTCTCTTTTTGGTATTGGGTAACTTTATAAGGAACCTAGGACTACAAAAAGGGAATAAGGGTACTACTGGGCATCCTAGACTATTACAGGGTGGGGGGCAGCTTCTAATGAATCCTACTCCTCAACCCCGCGCTCGAGCTGGAAGCCCCAAAAAGGCCCAAAGCCTACAACACACATAAACCACAGAGACCCGGGGTTTGGGGTGCCCTTAAAGGGATCTATAAGGGATACTTAAGGGCTCCTTTAAGGGATCTCTAGGGGTTTAGGGGGTTTATAGGGTTTTATTTGGGGTTTACAGGGAACTCCAGAAAGTTGGAATATGGTTTCTTGGTAGGATACCCTATAATTTACCATAGAAGGGTTAGGATAATCATATTCCAACTTTCTGGCTTTTACCCTAAAAGCCGAAAAGCCTAGACAGAAGGCACTGCAAACCCGAGATGTCCCACCTTAAAGTCGTTGTTGTCATGAGCCGGCGTGATCTTCACGCATCCAGTGCCGAACTCCCGGTCCACCATGGTGTCTGCGATCACCACCTGAAGACGACACAGGTATCCACAGACTCCGAAACTGTCAAGCAAATACGATACCCTAAACCACAACTTGGGTTGTCGGAGATAGGATTCGAGCTCAGAGGCCAGAGGCAGTTCTGCACCCATCAACATCTACCAAAAATGGTCTCAATCATCAGCAGTACCATTCCTTCCAACGTTTGTAGTATACAATACAAGTATACTATATGCGACCTCAATGTTACGCTTCTTGCTTGGCCCATGAACCTGCTTTCAAACGAGCCTTGGCACATACACACATATACATATACATATACATATACATATACATATGTATATATAAAGACATACATACAATGTACGTAGGTCGATAGGTATCTATGTATGTATGTTTGTTGACGGCCCGTCCTTGCCCCTGCAACCTTGCCACAATTCTGAGAACCTTCGGCCGAAACCCTTGAAGACTCAACCCGAAGACAAGGGCCCGAAGACATACAGTATGGTGATCATAGGGGCTATCAGGGTGTATCACACCTCATTTAAATGCGTGATCTTGCGAGTCAATAGTTTAGGATAGGACACCCGCCCCGCTCCCAAACCCAAATTTTGAAGCCTAAACCCCGGAGCTCTCGGAAACTCGAAGCTCCAAAAATCGTCGAGTTTCGGCCCCTCCCTGTTTGGTGGGGGAAGCGACTTTGGGGATGGGGGTGAAAGGGGTTTAGGGTTTAGTAAGGGGCTTCGGGGGCGTTTGCGGCACAGGGACTTCTGAACCTGTACAGGCATGATCTCATGAATTCTTCGTAAGATGGCGGTTGGCGAACCAAGGTCCCCAAACGTGCAGTAGCCACTATCCTACAAAGACCCTAACCTTGAGAAACCGTCTACTCATCACCGAGAAGCCATTTTGCGATCTGGGAAGAACGGATGCTCGAGCTCTTTGCCGTGGAATGCCTCTGACAAGGTGCAGGGGCTTGATTACTATAGAGGCGAGAAGCATCGGTAAAAATGCCCCTCTTCTGATCCCGGTATAAGTATAAAACGCAGAAAGGCCCACGTAGTAGTCACTGCTCGCATCTTTCGGAGGCCTCACAAGGTGGGATGAAGGTAGGTGGGATTAAGGATCCCTTATATAAGGACTCTTATTTGGGAATATCCCACCTACTCTCATCCTACCTTTTGAGGCCCCCGAATCTTCAGCTTACCTTGCGCCTGACGTCAAGATCGGAGACATTAGGGCCTTGTACCGATCATCTTCGGGGTGCACGGCCACGGCCGTGTCGCCGAGCATCGTCTCCAGACGGGTGGTGGCCACCGTCAAGGCCTGTTTTTTTTTAGGGTCTTAGGATTTTTAGGGTTTTAGGGTTTAGGGATTTAGGGTTTAGGGGTTTAGGGGTTAAGTTTAGGGTTTAGGGTTCGGGTTCAGGGCTCATGGTCTTAGGGACTTTGGGTTTCGAGGTTGGGTTTCTGGTTTGGGATGTGGGCTTAATGGTGGAGGTGCCCGGAGAAAGACAGCAAGTGCAGCAGAATCCTCGTTACATAGATTGACTCGCAAGTAGGATACTGAATATAAAACCCTGTTGCCCTCCCAGTTGAAATTTGTCGCCTCCTTCGTGCCCTTCACCATGTACTTGAACTCACAGAGCACGCCCACCTCATGCCCGCCGTAGGCTTGCGGAAAAGATGTTGGGGTTTTGGGTCTAGGATCTAGGTTGCTTAGAATTCTAGGTGCGGGGTCTACGGAATTGGGATCTAATGTCGAAGAGACCCAGGATTTGGTGTCTGGCGCTTCGGGGCTTCGGGTTGGGGACTGGTCTAAGATGATCCAAGATTACGGTTAAAGGCTTTAGACAAAGGTACACTTTAGGGCTCAGGGTTCCATCATTGGGTCTCCCAGGCTCCTTTGCGGGTCGTAAAGGTTTTGTAGAATCGGCTTTATGTGGCTTTAGAGGGTCTAGGGTCTACTCAAGGCATCCTTGGACTTAGTGACTTCTATGGGTTCCAAGTACCCTGCTGGGGCTATCCAAAAAACCCTACCGTCAACCTCCAGACTGTCTACCTTCGGGATCTGGGGATTTCAACATCGTTGACCTAGAAGTGCATTTCGAGCCTTGCTCCCAAGAGCCATGTTCTAATTGCATTGTACTTACTATGTTACACTATACTATACTATGTTGTACTATACCGTGCTATACTAAACTGCACTATACTATACTAGACTGTGGCATGCTACACAATACTATACACTACACTACACTACACAATGCTATATTACAGTCTACTATACTATGTTGTATGACGACATATTATACTATAACATGCTCTGTTTCACCCTGTTGTACGATAGTATACTGTATTATCCTACATTATACTTTGTTATAAGGTATTATGTTATGCTATCTATGCTATGCTATACTATACTATACTGTACTGTACTGTACTGTACTGGTATATTATGTTAGGCTCCACATGGCACGTCTCCGTGCCTCCACCTTGTCCTTGAGGCCGGGTACGTCCACCAAAGTCTTTCCTCCAAAAGTTCGAGCTCCGATGAAGCGGTTTAGGGGTTTAAGGGTTAGAGTTTCGGGTTTAGGGATTAAGGGTCTAGGGGTTAGGGTGTTGGGATTAAGGATTGAGCAATTTAGGGTGTTGATTCAAAGGAGACCACAATAAGGCACTTAGGTTGTGTGGCTTTTGGATTTTCGGATGTAGGAATCCTGGCTTGGAAAATTCGGTTTTGAGGATTGAGGTTTGAGGGTTTCCGGTTTATGTTGAGGCGGTTTAGAGCTTAGGAGAGATCCGGGTGGGTTTGGGGTTGGCGGTTACTGGACAGCCGAAGTCAGTACGCGTGCTCCATGAAGGCGTGGGGCTCAGGGCTGAACCCGAAGCCCCCACTAATTATCAAAATCGACCTGGACATACAATACAAGAAACCCAACCAAAAGACCTGCGCGACCCTTCCCAAAAACCCTCTGGAACCTTTTGGAGAAGCCTTCGAAAGAAAGCAGCGCGTTGCCAGGATCCCTTCAACAACTCACCACCCCGCCTTCACCAAATCACAGCAAACCGAAGTATACTTAGAGGATCATGGGACTTAGTAAGTAGGTTATAATTGGGGTGACAAGTCCCCTAAGTGGGGTTATCCTAACTCTAACCTACTGATAACCTTACTTACTAAGTCCCATGAGCCTTCAAGTAGGGTTTAGGGGGTCTCGGGTTGCGTCTGTCCTCCAAAAGCCTCACGCTCGAAAAGTCCTAAAGACGAGTGGGAATGAAACGAAGAACCCCAAGGCCTCAGCCCAAGCCCTTCAGCCCCTAGTAGAAGGGACCCAAAAAAGCACATAAGCAAAAATAAGGATAGGGATATCCCGTATAAATCCCCGTATAATGAAGCCCAATTAGGTAGGGATATCCCTATTATGTGCTTTTTGGGGTCCCTACTAGCACACCAGGGCTTTCCCTGGGGCTTACGGCTAACCACACAGGTTACTATAAGGGCACCGCGAAGTGCCTAAGCTGCTCAGGGTTCCTTGAAAGGTTACTATAAGGGGTACTATAAGATTCACGACCAGGGTTACTGTAAGGGCTCTGAAAGAAAGTGGCCTTGAGCACCGGGCCCTCTAGAGCTTTAGGATGCCTTTGCCAGGGCTGTAAAGTCTAGAACTCGAAAGTTTTAGGGTTTCGGAGCTTCGGTTCTTCTGCGAGGTGCCAGTGATGTCTTCGTGATCCACTTCGAGGTCCGAGAGGGCCGTCCGGAGGTGGGGACACCAGTTCACCTGACTGCATAGCGTTGGTTTAGGGCCGTTGACGGTGTAGGGCTTCGGGTTCAGGGTTTAGGATGCACCTCAGGGCTCGGGGCACCTCATGCGAGCTTACAAGGGTGCTTTACATGTGGTGTCAAGGTTTCATAGAGGTTCTCAAAAAGCGTTGAAAAGGGGTTTTGGTAGGGATCAAGGTCCGAAAGAGCCCAAGACCCGATTTACCCGTAAATTGTGACTGCGATGCTGAATCCCACATGATGTAGTCAGAGGACAGGGTGTCTTGCGAGGGCTGGGTGTACCTGAATTGGTGTGTTTAACAATTGCGCGCTAAACCCCTAAACGTAGCTGCCATACACCCATACAACCTGCGTCTAGCAACCGATGGTCGTTCCGGCCGAGCTGTAGGGTATAAGTAGGGTATGTGGAAGTGTAGGATTCAGGATTTGAAGCTTCACAGACGGCGTGGGTAAGGCCTTCATTAGAGTTCTCAGGCCTGCTTACGGGTAGATAAGCTCTAAACAGCCTCCAACTAAACTCCAAGTTCACCCGAAATTATCCTTAAACTCACCCTGAAACTAAGCCCTAAACCCCAAACACAGCTTTGATGATCTCTAATGAAACAGGAATGCCGAAGGGCGAGCCGATTGTCCCGGTAGATGAGCCCCCGGTCGTGGAAGCGGATAAAGGCCTCTTCCACTCGAAACTTTTGCAGCTTAGGAGACTCTGGGGGCTTTAGGGTTGAGGGCTGGGAGTCTTAGGGCTTTGGGGGATCTTTCTAAGAGTTTTAAGGGAGGAAAGATGAGGAGTTTCAGGGTTTTGGGGGTCTTTTGGGGGGTCTTTTAAGGGTGTTGGGAGAAAAGGGATGAGGGTGAAGGCCTCTTCCACCGCGCGGGCGCAGCGGTCGTCCATGGTGAACCTGGACGGCTTAGCCCTCAAAGAACCTCAAACCTCACTATTTAGGGATTCGAGTTTCAGGTTTAAGTTAGTTTACATACAGCTTACAGTTCGAAACCCCACAAAGGCCACAACGCTACAAAAGTTCCAAAGACGGCAGAGCTGCCTCTCTCGCGTCCAGTCCACTGAGGAGGCGATTCTTTGCAGCTGCTTCTTGATGTGCCCTGCATTCATCTCCTTCCAAGCCCACACCTTCGAAAAAATGGGTCTAGGTTTTAGGGGGTGTTTGACAATGTCAAGCCAGCTCCGTTGTCGTAGTACTGCTCTCTGGTGCCTGTTCATTTCTGGTTTTCCTTGGTATTTTAGGTCAGGTGTTATAGATGTGGGGTTTCGGGTAGTGGGCAAGGGATCATATGAGTGGCTGTCAAAATTACGGTCCCTTTTTGGATCCTTGATATGGTACGGCACCTAATTATTTAGGGTACCCAAAAAGGAAGCATAATTTTGACAACCACCCATATGGGGTTACAGACTTCGGGCTCTAGTGGCCGTCTGTTCCACACAAAATGCCCGGACTGGTCCCTGCACTCCGCTACGTTAAGCTTCGACATCAAGGGATCAAGGGCTTAGGTTTTAAGGTTAACTGGGGGATCGGATCCCTGCATGCCAGAACCGTGTCTTCAAGTTTTTTTGTGAGGACCTTGAAGTTTAAGGCTTAAGGTCGCGGTTTAGGGTACTGCAACACGGTCAGCCAGGGGTTTCATGTCAGAAGCCCACAAGCCAACAGGCAAGACAGATGTGGATCGACGCGCAAAAGGGTCAATCCTGAGGTTGCTGTACGGCTTGAAAAGGCAAAATCTTAAGGTTACTTTGCCAACTTTTATGTGTACAAGTTACTACCCTTGGAGGATCAAGGACTTAGTACGTGCGAGCACAAGCAAGATTGTTGCCCCATTTATTAAACATCCCCCCGAAACATCACAACACCTAATAGCACTAAAACCCACCCAAACACATCCCCGCTGTTTTTAACCTGTTTTGGATCGGGAGGGCTCAGGAGCAAGAGTAAGAGCAGGAGCAAGAGAGTAGGAGCAGAGCAAGAGCAGGAGCAAGAGCAAGAGCGGTTTGAGTAATTAAGGTACCTATAACCCTACTTGCGAAGTCCCCTGATCCCCTACGTAGTGGCTGCTCTTAGGGTTGCTATCCAAGAAAAAACAAGGCACGCGTTTGAGGAATTCCTCGCGACCGAGGTCGTGCCGGGTCTTCTTCTCCTCAGGGCTCAGGGTTTGGTTTAGGGTGGGGGGTTTAAAGTTTGGGGGGTTCAGGGTTTGAGGGTTTATAGTAGAAGCCAGAAAGTTGGAGCATCAATGCCATCATGCCCTAAAGTAAAGTATAGGGAATCCTAGCACTAATCACCCTGAATCCATATTCCAACTTTCTGGGGTTCACTAAAGGGGTTTAGGGTTCACGCTTTCGTGACCAAGTGCAAGATGTCCGACCTAGGGCTTCAGAGTTCAGACGTGGAGGTTAACAAGGTTTATGGATTGGGGTGTAATTTGCTTTGAGAAAGCCTTGCCCTTTTCTGTCAGGCAGCGTAACCCCGTCAAGAAGCCTACTTAGGCGAGCTGATCCGGGCCGGATCCTGCAAGGGACCGACACGGCTCTAGAACAAGGCTTAGGAAATTTCGCGCAGGGTCCTTGATTGGGAATTGTGCTTTTAGATATGTGAAGGTATGTCTAGTAATGCGCAGCGACGATAAGGGTAGATCATCCCTTCAAGGGCCTATGTCACCTCAAAGCCTTGTTTCTGTCATCTTTATTCGGTAACGTATACTTGCAAGCCCGAAACTCCCAAATCCCTACACCCTAACATCTTAACGTGCCCAAACCCTACACCCCTGAAGTCACGAGGCTCCTTGCAGTCAGAGCTTAACCCTGAACCCTCAACCACACCAAGACTGTGAAGCCGAAACTCCAAGCCACCAAAGCCCCACACCCCAGAACCCTCACCACCTAAATTTGGAATTCAATTTTCCTTCAGCCCTGCGTTAAAGACGCCTATAGAGGCTTCTGATTTCGTATGGAGCCGGGCCAAACCGTGAAGCTCACCACCTGAGCCCCAAAAAACCCTGAAAAAATCCTCCAAACCCTACACCTCTGAACCCTAACCTTCTTCTTCTGGTGCATTGGGGTGTCCCGAGCGTCGAGCATGAAGACAGCTAGCCGCTACTGCTAGCCCAACATAAATCCCGAACCCTGAGCTGCAGTGCCCTGTACCCATCGAAAACAAAAACGAAGGACGATCCAAACAACTCATGTTTAAAACCCTCATGTTAACTCACCCGCGACTACCCGGCTTAAAACGGCTCAAAAACCCCCAGCCCGAAACCCTAAACTCCAAAAACCTTGCAAAACCCTGTAAACCCTTCAAACCCTTGTAGAACCGCCAGAAAGCCCTAAACCCTAAACCCTAAACAATTCAAGCCCTTGCAGAATCTCCAAAAAGCCCCAAACCCCAAACCCTAAACCCTTGAAGCCCTTGTGGAACCCCAAAAAAAGCGGGGCCCCCAGCGCCTCCTTGAGGAGGCGGCGCTCCACCACGCTCTGCGTGGCGATGCCGGCGTGGTCCACGCCGGGCACGTAGAGGGCGACCTGGCAGACTCCCGACCGTTTTTTGAGGGTACCTTAGGGTTCGGGTTTCGGGTTTAGGGTTTAGAGTTTAGGGTTTAGGGTTTAGAGTTTAGGGTTAGGGTTTAAAGTTTAGGGTTTAAGGTTCCTTTACAGGGTTACTATAAGGGTACTGACATATGGACCCCGTTAATACAAGGGCCTTCATAATTAGAAAGGGTTTAACACTCGGGGTCTCTCGTATAGGTGCCTTAAAAACTTGATTATACTACGGTTGATGATATATATCCTGCATGACCTTAATGACACTAGACTATGGGAATTATGGTATATTCCTCATTATGGGTAATGCAGGATATATATATATCATCCACCGTATTTTGGGAGTATGGGCCTCAAAACCCAATTCCAACTATTCAGGCCCCTATGTTAAAGGAATCCTTCAAGGAAGCACTATAGATCCCTGAAAGGAACCCTTAAAGGAACCCCTATAGACCCCTTTAAGGGTTCCTTTAAGAAGTCCATAAGAATTGAGGGTTCCTTTAAGAGGTCCTCCAAGAGCTCCTATAAAAGGCCCATAAGGATTCTACAGGGTTTAGGCTTGAGGGTGCCTTGGACGGCTCCTTTAAAACGGGAGCCGGAAGGGTTCCGGGGTTTAGGGTTCGCTAGAAGGGCTGCTCGCTTCAATTCTGAAAGCGATGCAACAATGTTAACAATATCTTAGAAGGGTCCCCCACCCTGTAATAGAGGTATAATAGGAATATAATAGGACCCTAATATAATCCTTATAGTCACTATTACAGGTTGGGGGCAGCTTCTAGACTATAGCCATGACGAGTTTCTATCAAGGGTTGCTGAGGATCTCCGGCTGCTCCATTCTTTTAGAGTCGAGTTTCGGGTTTAGCGGTGTGGGATTGGCTTAGGGTTTCCGGGAGCGATAAGCAATTCTCCCTCAATGAAGGATTTTGCAGGGATTGCCAAGGCTCTTGCTTTGTTGTCTTACAAGTGCTGTTTCATCGCGATTTATCGGATTACTGAGCTAAGGGACATAGTTGAAAACCCAAACCACAAGCCTGGTTCATTCAAGGAAGATGGCTCCATGAACGGGCACGATCTAGATTTAAGGCCTGGGGCTTGGTCAAGGACCAAAGACGAAGCAACATAAATGGCCTTCTCTTGCGCCCTGGTCTCTCGAAGCAAAGCTTGATGATACAGTGACCCTACGCACCAATACACGTGGTATAAAAAGCCGGATGCAAGATGTTGTATTTATGTTTTCACATTGTTTTTGTCAAACCACTCGGCTATGCAGCTTCGGTTAGGCCCCTACCCTCTAGTGGTGACCACAACAGGTAGTAACAACGTTGATTTGGTGGTCTGGATTCAGAGTATGAGCCAACAATCCCCATCGAGGCCGTAGAGGGACTAGGATACCCAGTAACCTAAGAATAAAAAGGCCCCTCTTTTTTGGTATTGAGTAACTTTAGAAGGAACCTAGGACTACAAAAAGGGAATAAGGGTACTACTGGGCATCCTGGGGACCTTGATAGAACCCCAATGCAGAACCTGTATAGAACCCTTACAGGAACCCTCATCGAACCCCACATGGAGCCCACCCCACTACAGCGCCCTTGCAGCCATCAGGCCCACAAGACGGCCTCCAATCCGACAACTGTCCAAGGAAGTCGAGGTTTCAGGAAAATGCGGCTGACGGTGTTGGGTTCATGGCATAGGGAGTTGTGGGTTCAGGGTTTAGGGGTTCGGGCCTAGGGTTTAGGCTTAGGTCCTAGGGTTACAGGTTTAAGGGCCTTTTTAGAGGTCCTCACCTGAAGGATCTGACACATAAAGCAGATCCTCAACACAGGCTGGGGCCACATTGCCGCACATCCGGTGCCACCGAGTCAGGGCATCCTCAATGGCACCCGTCCTTGACAAAGCCATCGAAGCACTTTTAAGGTTACATGCAGCCTAAGGTTCAGTTTTAGAGGATGCGAGGGGATATTACGATCACGTCTTTAGGAAAACACGAAAATAGGCTATGGAAAAGTCTCGACGCCGGTGGGTAGTAAGTATCATTGGCATCTAGCTCCTGCTGTTAATTACATAAACTCCAACACTCCACAACCCATGATCTAGTACATGGTTGGGATCGGATTAAATATGTAGATATGCGTATTCCTTATTGGGTTTAAGTACCCATGAAAATGTAAAATGCTACCCAACTATGCCAAAGTGATTAGGTTCAGGAATGCACCCTCTACCACACCTAGGATCTGCTCCGGAGTTCATGGCATACTGCAATTTCAAAAGCCCAAAACCGCAAAACCTACACCTGAAAGCCTAAGCCCTCAATCCCAAGATCCAAACCCCAAACCCAAACCAGAAATCACAAAATCCTTGCGAGCTCAACACCAATCTCCCCCCCAAAAAAAAGTGCTGACAACAATGGAAGCCCTAATCCTAATTAATAAAACCTGAACCATGAAACAAATTTCTGAGCCCTAAAGTCCCGGACCCGAAACACCAAACCTTGCACCCATAAGCTCTAGACCCTGAAAGAACCCTTACATAGTGCTTAGAAGAACCACTACAGCAAACAAAGCTTATCAAGCTTTTCAGGAAACCTTTACAGACCTCTTTTCAGAACCCTTTGTGCTAGCCGGACCCTGAAGGCCAAAGCGACCCTTAAACAAGCACAAGGAGAAAGGAACCCAACCCTCCGCAGCCCTTCTCAGGAACCTTTTTTAAAGCCCATTCTAACTCTGAAGGCCAAAGGAAGCCTTCGAAACTCAAAAAAAAGACATACTCCTAAAACCACAAACCCCTAAACCCTAACCCCTAAACCATTAAAACAAACCTAGAACCCTTAACCCTTAAAACCTCAACACCTGAACCCTAAAACCCCCAAAACCCTAAAACCTCAAAACCCGAAAACCCTAAACACCCTTCAACCCTAAACCCCTAAACCTCTAAACCCTAAACCCTGAGACCCTGAGTCCCTAAACCCCTGAAAATGTAATCCGAAACTTAAACCCTTAAATCCTGACACGCTGAGTCCCTAAACCCGGCTAACCAGAGCCTCCAAAACCCCTTAATTAAGGAAGATACCTTCAATTATATTAGGGATCCTGTTATACTTTAAGGTATATTCCTTAAATTAAAGGGTTTTGGAGGCTCTGGGTAACCCCTAGAGATCCCTTAAGGGAGCCCTTAAGTATCCCTTATAGATCCCTTTAAAGGAACCCTAAACCCTGCCAACCCTAACCCGGCCCAAGGAGCAGCCTTAGTAAGTAGGTCATAACTGGGGTTATAAGTCCCCTAAATCGGGTTATCCTAATCATAACCTGCTTAGAACCTTATTAACTAAGTCCCATGAGCCTTCAAGTAAACCCTTAACCCTAAACCCTATAGATCCCTTTAAGGAACCCTATAGATCCCTTGAAGGAGCTCACCTTACTTACTAAGTCTCATGAGCCTTCAAGTAAACCCTATGCCCTTAAGTATCCCTTATAGATCCCTTTAAAGGAACCCTAAACCCCCCAAAACTAACCCGGCGGCCAAGGAGCCTAAACCAGGTCCTAGTCCCTAAGGCTCCATGTACCCATATAGTAGGTACTTAAGCCTTAAAGGGGTCACTATATGGGTACTTTAAGGCCTTAGTACCTACTATAAAACCCTAAACCCAAGGAGCAGCGTGTGTCCCAGGTGGAGCTTCCCAGTCACATTCCTCGGCTCTCGGGCTCGTGGGCTCTTGGGCTCAAGGTTTGGGGTTTCAGGCTTAGGGTTTAGGGTTTAGGGTTTACGATTAGCTGGGCTAAGAAATCACTAGGCCAGCAGTGTAGTAGTAAAAGACCCACCCGCCCAAAGAATCCCAAAACATTAGGAAAATATACCGTTTCTTCCTACACCCTAAAGGCCAACCAAGTATGCCCTAAACCCACCCTGCAGGGACAAAAACCACTAATTTGGCAGTGTGTTCCGGCCTGAACACTGCCAAATTAGTGGTTTTTGTCCCTGCAGGGTGGTCCGAGGGACAAAAACCACTAATTTGAGGCCGGAACACACTGCCAAATTAGTGGTTTTTGTCCCTGCAGGGTGGTCCGAGGGACAGAAACCATTAATTTGGCAGTGTTCAGGCCGGAACTGGTTTTTGTCCCTGCAGGGTGGTCCAAGGGACAAAAACCACTAATTTGGCAGGCCGGAACACACTGCCAAATTAGTGGTTTTTGTCCCTGCAGGGTGGTCCAAGGGACAAAAACCACTAATTTGGCAGTGTTCAGGCCGGAACACACTGCCAAATTAGTGGTTTTTGTCCCTGCAGGGTGGTCCGAGGGACAAAAACCACTAATTTGGCAGTGTTCAGGCCGGAACACACTGCCAAATTAGTGATTTTTGTCCCTGCAGGGTGGTCCGAGGGACAAAAACCACTAATTTGGCAGTGTTCAGGCCGGAACACACTGCCAAATTAGTGGTTTTTGTCCCTGCGGGGTGGTCGCACAGGCCCCCGAGGGACAAAAACCACTAAGGCCATTAACCTTTAAATATACATTTGAAAGAGAGGTTTAGGGTTTATAGAAATTGTTAAGGGTTTGGGTCCCAAAAACGTTTTGACCGAAAGGTTTTGAACGAAACTTTTTGACCGAAAGTTTTTTTTTACGAACCATGTTTCCAAATTTCTTGGGGGGCTGCGAAACGTTTTGAACGAAACTCTGGAGCGAGACGTTTTGACCGTCCTGGGGCTGGGGCGGGGGCCGGGGCTGGGGCTGATCTTTTGCGAATATGGGTTTGGGCCCCAAAAACGTTTTGAACGAAGCGTTTTGAACGAAACGTTTTGAACGAAACGTTTTGACCGAAACGTTTTGACCGAAACGTTTTCACCGAAACGTTTTCACCGAAACGTTTTCACCGAAACGTTTTGAACGAAAGTTTTTTTGCGAACCATGTTTTCAAATTTGCTGGGGGGCTAGGGCTCTTGGGTGCCAAAAACGTTTTGAGCGAAACGTTTTGAGCGAAACGTTTTGAGCGAAACGTTTTGAACGAAACTTTTGAACGAAACGTTATGACCGAAAGTTCTTGCCTCGGCTGGGCTGCCTGGCTGGGCTGGGCTGGCCTAGGCTGGGTCGGGCTGCTTGGACTGGCTGGTGGGCAGGGTTGCCTGGGCTGAAGGTTGTAGAGAAATTGGTTTATCAAGAAGCTTGTTCCGATTTTGAGCTCCAGCTCCATGTTGGCCGGGCCGTACCGGTGGTTACAAGTTTGTAGAGAAACTGGTTTATCAAGAAGCTTGTTCAATTTTTAACTTTTGTGTTGGGCCGTAGCGGTGGTTACAAACAAGGACAAGCAATTTCTATTTATCACTTTCTTGAGGATTTAGGGTTTAGGGTTTAGGGTTTAGGGTTTAGGATTTAGGGTATAGGGTTTAGGGTTTAGGGTTTAGGGTTGAGGGTTTAGGGCTTAAGGCTCAAGGTTTAGGGTTTAGGGTTTTAGGGTTTTAGGGCTTAGGGTTTAGGGTTTAGGGCTTAAGGTTTGGGGTTGTTAAGGGTTCCTTTAAGGGTTCCTTTATATAAGGGGATCTATAAGGGTTCTATAAAGGGTTTAGGGTTCAGGGGTTTAGGGTTTCAGGCTTAGGGTTTAGGGTTTAGGGCTCCTTTCGTTGGTGCTTTTAGGGCTTAGGGTTGAGGGTTCAGGGCTTAGGGTTGAGAGTTTTTAGGGTTAGGGCTTAGGGTTGAGGGTTTAGGGCTCAGGCTTGAGGTTTCAGGTTCTAGGGTTTAGGTCTTAGGGTTTAGGGTCTCGAGTTCGGTTCGGGTTTAAGGCTCCCGGCTTAGTGGCTTTAGACTTGCAGCTTTGGGGTTTGGGGTTTACTTAAAGGATCATGGGACTTAGTAACCAGGGTTATAATTAGGGTAACTCTACATATAACTACTTATAAGCCCAATTAAGGTACTTATAACCTTACTTGCTAAGTCCCATGATCCTCCAAGTAGGTTTGGGTTTCCGGGTTGTCCCTTCAAACCTCTCATGCAAGGAAACCCCAACTGCAACATCCGCAGAGATCCATACTTACCTTGGGTTAGTAGGGATGGAGGAATGGGATACAATTATAACTACTGTTGCTACCATTCTTCCATTCCCTACTAACCAAAGGTAAGCATAGCATTAACCGAGTACACCCTGCCGCAACACTCAACCCTAAACCCCATATAAAACTCTATGAGGAAGCCTACAGACCGCTTAAAAAAGCGGGACCCCTTAAAAGGGGACCGACGACGGCGGCCATCTCGTTCAGGGGCTTAGGTTTAGGGCAGGTTTTCTGGTCGCTTGTACTTTCCGAAGACCTTCACGGCGGCTCAATGGGTCTCTGAGTGGATACATCCCTGAACCCTAAACCCCCAAAAGCCTGACCCTTAAACCCTTAAATTCCTGAACCCTAAACCCCTAAACCTTAAAACCCTAGACCCTAAATCCTAACCCCCTGAACCCTAAACCCTCAGACCCTAAACCAAAAAAACCCACACGCTGCGAGGCGCGGAGGTGGGATCACCATGATGAAGCGCTTGGACTCGCAAGCTCCCTGGCTGGCCTTCGGGGGCTGATCAAAGCTTAGGGATGCTTACTTAAAGGCTCCTGGGACTTAGTAGCCTACTTAAAGGGCTTCTTTAAAGGGATCTATTGGGGTTCTATTGTAAGAGTGGTTTTAGGGTCTACTTAAAGGCTCATGGGACTTAGAAATTACGGTTATTATTTAGGTAACTATACTTATAACTTCCCCAGTTAAGGTAGTTATAACCATACTTACTAAGTCCCATGATCCTCCAAGCAGGGTTTCAGGCCAAGGATGTGAGGGTTCAGGGGCGGTGTTTACGGAATACGGCTTAGCAGGGCTGGAGGAGGTAGAAGATTTTGTCTATGTATTGGGTTGAGGGTTGTTAAGACTTTGGGGCCTATCAGCTTAAAGGTTGAAGGATTCACGACTTGGTGGTGGGGTAAAGTAAAGCATAGCATTGAATGACTTGAGGGTGTGTCTGCCCCCCTAACCAGTAAAACCTGAACTCTGCCCATGTTCCACAAACTCGGAGTTCCAGATTGAAAGCCTTGAACCCTAAACCCTAAATCCTCAACCCACGTCCACGCCTTGGGATCAGGAGTGAAGAAATGCCTCTTCTCCCACCAGGCACCTGGGCAGGTGCTCGAATTGTTGAAGACTTTGCGCTTTGAGGCTAAATGAAGTTGATAGGAGCGTTTGCAACGTATTCAAAACCCTGTAGGTAGGCTTGCACGCGACTCTACAGGCGTTTAGGGCTTTGGGTTTTGGGGCTTCCGCTGCTGAACGGCTCGCTTTGACCCTGTAGAGGATGCGATACCAGAGCCCGGAAAAGACTTCCTAGCATCATGTGGGCAAGATATGCCCTGAACTGTAAACCCCAAACCCTTCAGATTTTTCAAAGGTCTGTGCAGCTGGGTTGAACTCCCAAAGCGCAAAGAGGCCGAAGTTATGAACCCTAGTCCCAAAACCTGTAACCCTTGTAGTAGCCCGCATAGTAGAGCCTTTAAACTAACCCTCATCATAACCCTTGTTGGCGAAAACCCGCAGCGACCCTAAAACCGTGATCCCCCAGACTTTTCTAAGCGCTGAAGAGGTCGCCTTGCGAGATTTTGAAGCCTAAGCCTTGTAAAATCGCCTACCTTACCCTACCCCAACTCTGCCCTCCTGCCAGTCCCTGCATCATCCCAAAAACCTCGAAGCCGTAATTGAACAACCGTAACCTGTCAAAAAAGGAACACCCCGTAACACTTATAGGATCAAATGACTTAGTAGTGGGAAAGGAAACTGCTTCTATAGATACTCAGTACCTGAAATTGGAGAACTTCTCAGCCTACTATTAAAATTATGGACTGCGAACGAACCTTCAAGTAAGAACTCTCGAACCCCTAAACTCCAAAATATAAGCCCTAAACCCAAAACCCAAAACCTCAAACACCATCTTGTCTGCATGTTCCGAGCGCTCCAAGCGGACTCCACGGCTTTTGGGTTGTAGGCTGCTGCCATCGGCAGGCTCATGTCCTTCCAACAGGGCTTGTGGGGGGGGGGCGGAAGTCTGGGGGCTCTACAAGGGTGCTTATGAGAGGTTTGGAAGAGTTGTATGAAGGTTTCCTCGGGGTATGACAGGAGTCTTGTTTGAGTTTCAGAACGGCTTTATGGTAAGTTCGTGAGGCTTCGAGCTTTGAGGGGCTTGCAGTATACAGTTTGGGCGCTCGACTTATGGTTTAGGGCTTGGAGTTCAGTTCAGAGTATACACCTTCGGGTTGAAGGTTTGCGGTTGAATGTGTTTTGTGTCAGGTCGAAGCTTAGGGGTTAGGGCCGGTAGAGCAGATTTGTTTCATATAGGGGCCTGAATCATGAAAATTTGGATTTGGTGTATACTCCAATAAAACCATGCAGGAACTATCAAGTGACCTTGTCACCGATTATCCAGACCGCTATATATAGGCGTTTGGGTTGGAGAGAACCCAATGTTCTGCTACTGCACTCATTACTAATTTTCATGGGTTTGAATCTTAAGGCTTAACATTATGATGTCAGACCACCCTGGGTCTTCCTTACACCCTAGGCACTGAACAGCCTAAGCCTCGCCCTCAACCCTAAAGCCTAAACCGTAAACCTACACCCTAAAACCTGGGCCCTTGGGAGATTATCTAGGTCAGGGGCTTTGGGCCTAGGGCTTCGCTTACGCGGAGGCAGAGCTTCAAAGACTTAGTTGAAGATTCCAGGAAAGCTTCGGCGTTTAGGGTTTAGGGGGAGTCGATGAGGGTTGCTTAAGCGGGATAAGGGTTCCTACAAGCATCCTACAAACTGTTCTGCGTGCTTTCCTACAAAAGACTTCGAGGGTTTGGAGTGTCCCTGCCCAGCCAGAAACGGTTGACTGCCTGATTATGAAAGGATCCTATACCCTGAACCCTAATCCCTTAACCTTTAACCCTGAACCCTAAACCCTAGGCCCAAACGGCTTCAAGTCTATCTAATCAGCTACAGAGTGAAAAAGCCGTACCCTAGCCTTCAATCCCAAAGGGGAAGGCGTGCAGCCCATTCACGCATAGCGAGCTGAATTTCCCAGAGAAGTCTTATCATGAATACTCAAAGAGTCCAATACCCTCAACCTCGAGAACCTGCCTCAAACGATAAGAATCTTGCTCTTGCGTTCAACTTCTATTCCTTACATGAAGGGGTAATGGGTTCTGTGTGTACCAGTTCATCTCAAAGGGGTTGATAAAAGCTTCGAAGGTGTTTGGTTCAGGGTCGTGGGCTTGGGCCTGCTTTTCCTATTTGGCTTCGGGGTTGCAAACAACTGCTGAGGTTATGAACTGGCTCCTTCCTTTCCACTCTTTAGGGAATGGGGTTCACCCTCAGCCCTCAGCATTTAAGGTTTAGTGCCTCTGGGTTAGGGGTTTATGGCTAGGGTCCTTCTTGTCGCCGTGCGGCGTCACTACGATGGGCTCTTCCACGGCGGGCTGGCGCAGCGGGAGAGACTGGGAGCTTCCATCGGCTCTCTCCGCCGACAGCCCAAACCCTAGCCCCGAAGATCCCGAAAGACGGACAGGGATCAGAAACTCCAAAGTTCTGCAACCCTCCACCTGAGGCCTTAAACGGTAAGAACAAGGTTGTAGGAAAGCTTGTACTTTAGTTGTAACAAGGCAGCTTGAGAAATGCTCCTACAGGCTTACTACTGTTATGCAGACTCGCTAGACTAGCCCTTCCAGGAAACCTTAAAGGAACCCGGGTTTCGCGTTCAGGGTTCAGGGTACAGGGGCTTAATGTTCCGACCATCAGGGTCTAGAGTTTAGGGGACGATGGCTTACAATCATCGTCATGGCACTTGCTCTACGAGTCGGGCGGATCAGAAGAGCTAGTTGCGAACAACAACGTCAGCGGTACACCCACAGCGCACCCACAGCGCATCAACGGCATGATGACATAAAAGGCATCAGCCACGCACCGACAGCAACGGCAAGCAGCAGCAGCAGCAGCAGCAGAAGGACAGCGAGGAGCAGAACAAAAAATCAAATCTGCGCGAAACTAAACCCTTTAACTCTAGATCCTAGGCCCGAAAACCCCTAATTCCCACACCTTCAAGGCCTCCAAGCCTTCATCCCAATAGAGTAACATTCCTCTCGGAGACGGGATTACGCCCCCTGAGACTCTGACATAGGGGCCGTAACGAGCATTCGGTTCTGGGGGGGTACATAATTACATAATTTTACGAGAACTTTAATAAGGATGCCTTCAAACGAACCCTTAAAGTGTTCTTCTTCCTGCCCTCATAAACCCTAAACCCTAAGCTCTAAACCGTCATAAACCCTGACACGCCCTGAACCCTGACTAAACCGACTCTACTCCGGTCATTACTCCCATTCCGCCGCTGGCGAAGACTTACCTTGGTTAGTAGGGAATGGAGGAATGGTAGTAATGGGTTCCTTTAAAGGGATCCTTTAAGGGATCTTTAGGGTTTAGGGTTTAAGGTTTAGGGTTAGTAGGGAATGGGGGAATGGGGTACAACTATAACTACTATTACTACCATTCCTAAACCCTAAACCCTAAACCCCTAAACCCTATGACTACTATTACTACCATTCTTCCATTCCCTACTAACCAAAGGTGAGGAAGAGGCCTTCGCCTTCGCCTTGGCTTCCTTGGCTTTCTTGGCACCTCCCGGATTCTTCTGGGCCTACTTTCAGGGGCCTTAAAAATTCGAATAGGGTTCCTAAACAGGGTCCCTTAAAGGGTTCTATCAGGGTTTCTATAGGGTATATAGTTTAGGGGCTTTAATAATCAGCATGGGGTTTTGGGGCCCGTCTTTCTATACTGATAGTATTTGGGCCCCTAGTTTACTTCGAGGCTTGCTGTAACGCATGCAACAAAGCTTACTACCAGAGGTGCTTGAAAGGGATGTACAGGGCACGATAAGGGCTACGACGAAAGTTACCAAAAGGGATACTATACGGGTACCCGAGCCGGTACTGCGGTTTAGCCTTTGAGCTTTAGGATTGGGGACCCCAAGGCTTTCGCGTAAAAACGGGGCTTCAGGAGAGCAAGGTTTGAGGCGTTTGCTGGCGTGTCATTCCATGGGCCGAAACCCTACACCCCCTGAACTCAAAACACTTAAACCCCCAAACGCTAGCCCTAAACCCAAAAGGGGTTGTCAGGGTTGCTGAACGTCTTCTTATAATCGTGTGCTAGGCAGAAAGAGCTCGAGGTACCTGGCTCGCCCCAGGTCGGCTTCTCCTTCGCCACCTTCTCCACCTTCTCCTTCTTCCTGGCATGAATGCGGCACGCAAAGATTCAGAGTATCACAAGCAGTCAAAGGTCTCCTTTAGAAGGATCGTTTTGTTGTAGTTATATCAGGACTAGAAGGGTACACTGATGCTAATTATTCCACCTTCTATGCAAGACGGCTCAGCTACTAGATTCTAGATCAAACCCCGCCGCGGGCCAGAGGTCAAAAAGAGAGAAACGGGGTGGCTGACCGGCAGACTAGCAATACCGGTGATACAAATAAAAGTCCTGTCCAGAACAGCGATGATAACGGCAGTGCTTCCACTCTCTTCAACAAAGACACTCATCGGCATCATCACCCGTCTCCATACAGCAGCTAGAACAACGTCACCACCATCATCATCAACAACACCAAGAAGCAGAATGAGCAGCACCATCATCCTAGCAACAGGACTTTTTAGGAGTTTTGTTGGAAGCCAAAGGCACCTTCCTAAGTGGCCCCTGCCATGAAAACCCTGATGCTCACCAGAAGCTTGATCTGCTATACTGGGAATTTAGAGTGTTTCTGGGGTTTATGGGATCTATAGACTCCATAAGCCCCGGAAAACATTCTAAGTGGGAATTTAGAGTGTTTCTGGGGTTTATGGGATCTATAGACTCCATAAGCCCCGGAAAACATTCTAAGTGGGAATTTAGAGTGCTTCTGGGGTTTATGGGATTATAGACTCCATAAGCCCCGGAAAACATTCTAAGTGGGAATTTAGAGTGTTTCTGGGGTTTATGGGATCTATAGACTCCATAAGCCCCGGAAAACATTCTAAGTGGGAATTTAGAGTGCTTCTGGGGTTTATGGGATTATAGACTCCATAAGCCCCGGAAAACATTCTAAGTGGGAATTTAGAGTGTTTCTGGGGTTTATGGGATCTATAGACTCCATAAGCCCCGGAAAACATTCTAAGTGGGAATTTAGAGTGCTTCTGGGGTTTATGGGATTATAGACTCCATAAGCCCCGGAAAACATTCTAAGTGGGAATTTAGAGTGTTTCTGGGGTTTATGGGATCTATAGACTCCATAAGCCCCGGAAAACATTCTAAGTGGGAATTTAGAGTGTTTCTGGGGTTTATGGGATCTATAGACTCCATAAGCCCCGGAAGACATTCTAAGTGGGAATTTAGAGTGTTTCTGGGGTTTATGGGATCTGTAGACTCCATAAACCCCGGAAACATTCTAAAACCCCGATACTGACACCCTACGAGAACCCGGGTCAAAACCGTCACAAAACCATTGTGCAACCTTTCTGAAGAATCTGCAACACCCGTTAGGAAACATCCTACAAATGCCTACACAAACCCTCGGTAAGGCTCTATGAAACTCCGAGAAAGAAACCAAACAAAAACAAACCTTCAAACTGATAAGCCTCCCTCTATCACCATATCGAAACCCTATTAAGCCTTGTAGACCCGATGAAAACCTACAAAACCCTATAGACCCTTTACAAGAAACCTCTTTTGAAAAGCCGAAAGGCGGTTTCGACTCGCCCTGCGGGGCGGACTGAGACGGTGCGTGGCCACCTGCAGCTTTGGGAGGTTGTTGGAGGCCCAGCGGACTTAGTAAGGGTTCTTAACGGGCTCCTTCAAAGGATCTGTAGAGCTCCTTCAAGGGATCTATGGGGTTTAGGGTTTAGGGTCTACTTGGAGGCCCAGGGGACTTCGTAAGTAGGGTATAAATAGGGTTATAGGTACCTTAAATGGAGTTATCCCAATTATAACCCGACTTATAACCTACTTACTAAGTCCCCTGGGCCTTTAAGAAGAGGCTCCATTCAGGGCTCCTGTAACAGATTCCTATAAGGGCTCCGAAAGAAGGTCCAGGGGTTTGGGGTTTACGGTTTTGGGCTTTAGGTTGAGGGCTTAGGGGAACAAACCATCTCGGAAACCTTGAAGACAGCCTGCTCTCAAGAAACCTTTCTAGAATCCTTGAAAAAAAACACATCTGCCCTTGCCTGCCCGCCGCTGGAGGCCGCTCAGTAACTCGTCGCACTGCATACCCATCGCTGGGCTGCGCGACGGAGGGCTGAGCCTGTCGCTTAAGGGCTGCTCACGGGGCTTCCGTTACTTGGAGGATCATGGGACTTAGTAAGTATGGTTATACGTACCTTAATTGGGGTTATAAGTATAGTTACCTTAACAATAACCGTAATTCCTAAGTCCCATGATCCTTTAAGTAGGGCTGGCTCGTTGAAGTTGAAGGGGCTCCTTTGAAGGCTCCTGTAAGGGCCCTCGGTAGGGCTGGCCCCGACGGCTTGGGCTGAGGGCTACGCGGCGCCAAGACCCGAAGAGCCCAATACCCCTTAACTAAGGGATATGGTTTTCATTATAAGGGGATTCAGATTATGATTTAAGCTATATTCCTGAATTAAGGGGATGACTTTCTACAGGGGTCTCTCGAAAGCTTCTATACGGGTTCGGGGTTCAAGCTTGCAGAAATACCAGCTTAAGGGTCTATGGTAAGTAAGGTTTAGGCTCTGGGGCTTTGGAGTAGCCCGTATATTGACCAATACATTATCCGAGCCTCCTGAATCCATTGCTCTGGAAACCTTTCCAAGCCCTCATAGAAGCCTGCTTTAACGGCCCTCAACCAAAAAACACCTCAACTCATAGAACACTCCAAACCCTCAAGCAGCAAGCAAAACCCGAGTCGAACGATCAAGGACCCTGAACCCTAAACCATAAGCCCTAAACCCTAATCCCCACACTCCATGATCCGAGCCTCCATCATTATTAGCCCCTATACTATGCACCCTATAGAAACCCTTATAGAGCCCTTTAAGGGGCCCTTTTCAGGAACCCTATTAACCATCACGGCCCCTCGATGACCCGAGCCTCCAACAGAGGGCTCGACCCCCGACTAGCCGGAACCCTAAACCCTAAACCCTAAACGCCCTAAACCCTAAACCCTAAACGCCCTAAACCCTAAACCCTAAACGCCCTAAACCCTAAACGCCCTAAACCCTACACCCTAAACGCCCTAAACCCTAAACCCTAAACCCTAAACGCCCTAAACCCTAAACCCTAAACGCCCTAAACCCTAAACCCTAAACGCCCTAAACCCTAAACGCCCTAAACCCTACACCCTAAACGCCCTAAACCCTAAACCCTAAACCCTAAACGCCCTAAACCCTAAACCCTAAACGCCCTAAACCCTAAACCCTAAACGCCCTAAACCCTAAACCCTAAACGCCCTAAACCCTAAACGCCCTAAACCCTAAACGCCCTAAACCCTAAACCCTAAACCCTAAACGCCCTAAACCCTAAACCCTAAACGCCCTAAACCCTGATCCGAGCCTCCAACAGAGGGCTCGTCCCCCGACTAGCCGGAGCGTCTTCGGAGCTCCGGCTCGGGCAGCAGTGGGAGAACTGCTGCTTTCAAAGGCGAAACGCTGCGGAACCGGGGAGTTTAGGGTTTAGGGCCGTTTAGGGCTGTTTAGGGGCGTTTAGGGGCGTTTAGGGGCGTTTAGGGTTCAAGGCTCAGGGTTTAGGGTTTGGGTTAAACGATCTTTTCGCAGTTTAGGAGTCAGAAGTTCGGGTCAAGAGTTGCCTGGTCGCAGGCATCCAAGGATGCTCGCGAAGCCCCTGACCCTAGAACCTAAACCCGTAAACCCCAAAACCCCTAAACCCTAAACCCTAAACCCCAAAACCCCTAAACCCTAAACCCCTAAACCCCTATATAAACCCTAAACCCTAAAACCCTAAACCCTAAACCCTGAAGCCTGAACTGAACCCTGGACTCTCACACGCAACTCTGAAGTCTCAACTCCAACTCCCAGGCCCGACCCCAGCCCCAAACTCGGAACGCTCAACCATAACACCCGAAGCCACCAAACAGTAAAACCTAGGAGTAGTCGGTTTAGGGTTTAGGGGTTAAGAGTTTAAGCTTTAGTGCTTAAGCTTTAGAGTTTAGGGCTTAGGGTTTAGACTTTAGAGTTTAGGGTTTAAGGTTACTACACCCCAAAACCCTACAAGCCTGAGCCTTCAACCCGTCGACCCTAAGCTCCAAACCCTGCAGCCTACACCCCCTAAGTCCCAACTATCCCATACTATAGGGGCCTAAATGATTACCAATACTATTTCGGTGATTTCTTATGTGTACTGTAGGGGCCTAAAGAATTACCAATACTAGTTCGGGGATTCTTGACTTTAATTTGAATACAATGGGCTAGAGGCGTCAGTAGAATAAGCCTCCAGGAACCCTTAAAGGCAGCCTTCAAAAGAACCCAGAAAACGAAAAGAGCCCTTAAAGGAATACTTTGGAAGCTTTCATCCTCCGATCTGGAAGTGACGGAGACCGACCCGGGGGTTTCAGGCTTAGAGTTTACGTTTTGTCGGGCTTAGGGTTTAGGGTTTAGGGTTTAGGGGTTTAGGGGTTTAGGGTTTAGGGTTTAGGGTTTAAGGTTTAGGGTTTAGGGTTTAGGGTTAAAAGTGTCGGCTGTTGTGCTGCTTTTAGAGCTCAGGGCTGAGGGACTGGGGTTTAGGGGCCTGGGGTTCGGGGTTTTAGGGTTCAAAGAATAGAGCCTGGAATCCTAAACTCCACATCCCCAACCACTTTCATACCACTTAGCCGCCCGTAAGACATTTAAGGTGCTGATAAGCCCCTATTATGCTATTTCGCGACTATCAACCTCATGAGATGCTTGGATTTCTCCCACCTGCTTTCTGGGTGAGGTATCTGTGTGAGTCTGGTGCAGCCAGCGGCCGACGATAGCCAGCAGTCTCAGTCAACTGCGCAACACAAAATCTTTAAAAGGAGATCTCCGCGGCCTTTTACGGATTCCATAGGATGTCGTAAGGGTTGCCGAGGCTATTGCACTTTCTAAACATGCAGGTCCTGTCTCGTGATTCGCCTAACAAAGATCCTACTATCCAGTCTCGAGGTCCTCCTCGGATCCCATTAAGTTCCAACGCCCTGGAAGCAGCACCGTAGGGTTTAGGGTTTAGGGGAAAACTTACCGACCTACCGTCACGTGAGTAGAACTACATCCGGTCACGAGGTCTGAACGAGCTGATGAGGTCACAAGTGCGGACTTCGACCGCTCTACTGTTACATTGGGGAAGCTAAGGCCAGGCACTGCAAACCCAACGCCCTAAATTCTAGAAACCCTAACCCACCTCCAAGTCCTAGTGTTTAGGGTTTAGATTGACCCCTGAAAGGGAATGCCTGCGTCACATGACATATCACATAATCTTTCCGGCGCCGACTTCCGCGCACCGTCCTTTCAAAGAAAAACACTCCAAATACATACCGCGGGGGTTCTCAAAATTAGAATACCTTTTTAAGGTCCTTGTATACGGTCCTTACGGTTAAGGCTTCCTTATTTTCTGCAACTCACGATTGTATGCTGGCTCCCAAGAGAGCGCAGACTAGACTAGGCTGCAGCGCGACCCTCACCCCACCTTAAAACTCTAGGTCGTGGGAGCTATGCCCAAAACCCAGAAAACTAAACCGAAAATCCCAAACTTTAGGCCACAGAACCTTTTCTATAGGGGCCTCAATAAGTAGACTAGGGGTTTGGGGTATATTATACCATAGCTATAATAAAGAACCCCAGAATAGTACTATAAGGAAAGCCCACAATAGCATTGGTATTTATTTAGTCCCTGTCTTACCCGAAGTCCACTTCGACACGGAGGTCTCCTTGGGGGGAAAACGGCGGTGTCATCGCTGCGGGGCGAACCCCAAAGCTCACCATAAACGCACCTGGGCGGTTCCGCTGCTGCAGTGTCTAAGGGTTTAGGGTTTAAGGTTTAGGGTTTAGGGTTTAGGGTTTATATACGAGTCGGTGTTGAGTGTTTCGGGGTCCAAGGTAGGTAGGGCGTTTAGTGTTTGCGGACTCAGGGTTCGGGGTGAGGGTTTGAAGTCTATAGGGCCATTGGATTAAGGACTTGCTTGAACGATCTGCGAACCTGAGACTTAGCGACAGGTTACTGTTGGTGTTACCCTACCGATGATCCCCTTACTTCGCCCCACGGTGTTTCCAATCAATTTCCGTAAGCCTGTAGCCGTGCTTCCAGTTGCTGATGAGCCTTCAAGTAGGCTTCCCCCTGACGATTTGGAAGCAGAAACCTCTGTCGCAGGCCATCATCTGCTCAAGGACACCATGAAACTGTTCATATAGGGGCCTTAATAATTAGAATAGTGTCTTGGGTTCCATTATACTATAACTAGGACTATAATAAAGGACCATCAAAATAGTATAGGTAATTATTGAGGCCCCTTTTGTAGGTCGCCAGAACTATCAACTCCTAGCTGAAGGTCACGGGAAAGAAACGAAGCCTGGTGCTAGCGCCCAACAAAGCAAGTGAGCTCAGGTCAGGTGGGATTCCAGAAACCCTCCCTGTGATATGCTTTTTTGGCCTTCCGGTGCCCCCGGACAAAAGCCCTGAATCCTAAACCCTCCAACCTTCTAGAGCCCCGAATCGCGCAGAGGAAGAAAAAGGCTCGAGCCCCAAACTTCTTAGGGCTTAGAGTGCACCCTTCCATCACAGCCCTAAACCCTAAACCCTAAACCCTAAACCCTAAACCCTAAACCGTAGCTGTGAGATCCCGAAGCTCGGATGTGCTGGGATGAAGGTTTGCCAACTTCGGGTTGAGGGTGGAGGGTTTAGGTTTAGGGTTTAGGGTTTAGGGTTTAGGGTTTAGGGTTTAGGGTTTAGGGTTTAGGGTTTAGGGTTTCGGGATTTAGGACTGAAAGAGATTGGGGGGATTTAAGACTTGTAGGGTTTAGGGTTTAGAATTTCAGGATTTAGGACTTAAGCTTTAGGGTAGGGCCCGAAGCGCCTATATTGGAGGGCTCACGTAAAGCCCTTTGCCGCCCAAAGCTCCTCAAACCAGGGTCTTGTTGATGAGGTTGTTCATGAAGTCATCCGGTGTGTCCTTCTTGGCCTCACCTGCACGGCTTCGGGCATAAGGTTTCGAACCTCTGCAAGCAGATACCTGGGCCAATCTGCGTAGGTCGGGTTGCCGCCAGAGGATCCCAAACAAGGACGCTGATCTA